AAATTTAAAAGGGGCAAATAACGGAAGTAGCAGAATTACACCACCCCATTCCAGTCCCCCCTGGGGAGACCTCACAGGCCTGGAGGTGGACTGGACTGCCAGACGTTCTGGTTCTGCGGGAGCAGCTTGGACTTCTCTCTGCTTGGGCTGGATGGAGAGCCCCCCGACAGCGCAGCTGGGCCCAGCACACACCAGAGCTGGTCTCACTCAACCTCGGCAACCTTCCAGTGGGGTCTGAAGACCAAGAGGTCCCCCTGAGCCTGGTGCTGGACCCCTCTCAGTAAAGCACTCGACTCTGCTAAATCAAGCTGGAGATTTCTTTCTTGCTATAAGGAAAGGAGGACATCAATGTTTTCTCTTGATACTAAATGCATGAAAATACCGCCAGGTGTGCAAAACTATGAGATGTCTTTTTGAGGTTATTAGGATTTGAACGTTTTGAAATCTTTGTATGCACATTTTTAAATAAATGGATAGTATAAATAAATGGTGCAGTGGTTAGCATTACTGTCCCCCACTGGGGTTCAATTACTGAGGCCCTGGGTTCAATTCTGGACATGGGGTGCTGTCTGTGTGGAGTTTATATTTTCTCCCTGTGTTCACATGAGTTTCCTCCAGGTGCTTTAGTGCTTCAGAAAATGGACGGATGTAATGAAATGATAATCCTCAGAAAAGTCACATTTCCATCTTTATTTTCCTTTTCTAAGGCTCTCAATTTTGCAGCACGTATATAAAACATAAGCACGAAAAAAATCTTTTGACAGTTTAGACAAAATAGGAGTTTAATAGAATATTAAACAACAAAAAAAATGGATTTAAACGTAAGCCAGTTATAAATATGAACACTGCTTTTGAAAACATATAAAAGATTTCCTGTCACCTGTTCACGCCACACACTGGTTGGTATTACAGCAGATTAAAAAATAATTTAAGCCTAGTCCATGTTCAAAATACGATGGTCTGCTTTACAGAGTAAGTTCATTAACTAGTGTTTAAGAAAAAAGAACAATTCCTCTTGGAAAAACCAAAAAAGTATATATTGTTTAATCACGGTGTCTTCTGAAAGCAAAAAAATAGCTGCAAGGTGTAGGGCCAAATAAAGATCATATTCAGGGAAAACTGAAACAGAACTGAAGTCTGACATTCTACAGTACACACTCACAGGGTATGTATTTGATTCTCTTAAAGATCAGCAGGAAAAGCTATGGCTGAAGCCACCAGACAACAGGTGATGCGGAGTATCGATGTCTCATAGCAGTCAGACACTTGACTGTATTGCTCATCACACATGCACTGGCACATGTATCTTCGAAACTACTGCATGATGACATGATGATTCGCAAATATGACACTGGATAAGGAAGCACACAAAACAGACAATTATTTGAAATCTCTCCATAAGGTACGTATTTCACTTTTTGGGGGTACAGCATTAAACTGGAGTACGTCCTGTTTAGAAAACAATGTTCCAACTGGCTAGAAGATGGCTTGACACTATCAAAAAAGGAGCACACTATCAGACAGGAGTAGCCCAGTTATCCTTTAAAATGGTCAAACACTCTATCTTAACGCCTACGCAGCAGTAAAAGAAATATTTGATTTGACACCAATTATTGGAGCGTATGTCACTGGCACCTTGGGGGAGGCGAGAGGGTGAAACGAAATAGTTTATTGTTTGTTTCCAGTGACGAGAATGCGATGTAGTGTTTTCAATAGTTGAAAAAAAAAAAGTTTGCCGTCCTTAAATGCAAACATGTAGTAACAGCCTGTCAAGGCTCGACGTCAGTGATACTGTCACAGTAAGAATGGGAGATTCTTCAGCTCAGGGCTCCCTGCAGAGGACAGTGCTGTCGGCAGGGCCAGAGCCGATTTCGTGTTCTAGACATTGTGAACGCTTGGTCGCAGACATGGCTCAAAAAGGGCCACCTTTTCAACAAAAATGGTCATTAAACTCATCGCAACGCGTAGATTTGGGAACAGATTATTTTCGGGATCATTTTTAAACAACTCTGGTGTGTCTTTTGGCAGGCTTGGGTGTTTTAAGTCAATATAACACTGCGATCAGAAAGGGGCCTTCGATTTTTCCAACACCACACAGGATATTAGAACATTCAACATTGAATGCAACTTGTGTTTGACGCATTGCAACTCTATGACATACTTAAACTTACTGTACAACTCCTCAAACTCAGGTTCCATTAAAAAATAAAGCTTTCAAATGATTTCTTCTCAAAAGGAATGCCAGTAAGATACTTGATCTAAAGAAAAATCAATAATCCAAATGACCCTAACCAATTTCAATTAATTTGCAAGGAAGTTAGAAAGTCATTAGTAGGATCCTGCACATACTGTTAGACACTCAAATGTGTTCAAAACGCTGTACAGATATCCTAGATACCTGTATCTTTATGATTTATTATGCTTTTCAATAATGTTACACATTTAAACTTCTATTTGTAGTTAAAGGAGGCTTTTCTCATATGGTTTTAAAACTGATGTCAAGTGTGACATAATGGAGTCATGAACAGAACTGTCCAGTTAATAAAATGTATTTTCTTTATAATCTTTCAAGATGTCAGCTTTCAGTGATTGGATGCCATGCATGACAAATCAAAATAATGCGTGTAATGGAGTTTTCTAATAATTTTACCAGTGTGAAAATCCTGGCCCCAGTGCTTTTATACAAATAGATTTTAGAGTAGTATATGCACACATTAACAGTGAAAAGGAAAATATACCTTTGATTTCAAACCAAAAGTTTTGGCAGTATTTTACACCTAACATATACAGTATAAGGCTACCACATCTTATAGACTAAAAAGTACTGCCAGTTTTGTAGCCTACATGAATGAATTATACATGTGAATTATCATTCAGGTGTCAGAGATCAGCATGTAAAATGAAAGTGCAGAAACGTGTTGGATAAAGAAACATCACTGCTAAGCAACGTCATTGATGAATGTGAACTAAACAGTTTTTCTTTGTCACTGGGGCCCTGATCAACAAAGCTGCTTGCTCAGAGCACAGGTGGAGGACAACGACCCAGGCACTGCCAGCTCAAGCCTGGGTGAACTCACAAGCCTTCTGTGGCACAGTAGGTATGGGTCAGAGTGGATGTTAGCTGGGGCTGGAGAGGGCCATGTCAGCTTCCAGCAACACAGCCACCTCAGTGTCTACAAGAGACGTGCCTCCAGTCGGGAGGATGTACAGTGTACAGTGTAATACCGGAGCAGCGCAGAATTACAGCCACAATTCCGACTACGAACTGGCTGGGTTTAGAAAAAAACAGACGGCATTTCCAAATTAAAGGAGCAGGACGAATGATTTATCTGTTGAAAACACAGACCTTTTCCTCACATCACGAGGACAGTGATTTTAAAAGAACAGTTATAAATAAAGACAAATCAGTATTGAAATTTCTGCTGTGCTGTCAGAATTTTTCAAAACCTCATTTCACTGGATCATCTACCAGAACAAACGTACTCAAAAAGATATATTTTTTTAAAGTAACCAAACATCTAGCAGTGCCACTAAGTTCAAGATAATTGTACTTTCACCACAATCACACCCAAACTCTTTATTGCAACAGAATAGTTTTTGCAAAACAAAGGCCGACTTCACAATCAGCCTGTGGATCTATGGGATTCCAAAAACATTTAAGCTTTTTCATATGAGCAAACCCCAACTGTAGATCAGTCCTAAAATAGAACTGCAGAAACGTCAGGTCTGTATGTGTACAGGTGTTCTCTTCCACACGCAAAATAACATAAACCGACAATTTTTTTTTTCCAGATTGTGAAGGGAGACCCACCACCAACATCTCCCCCCGATGATTTTTTATTTATGCAGTTTTCCTCTCATGTCAGGTGTCCAAGTCCCAGATACACTAACTGCCAGTCATTCAAGCCCACAAGCTAAAAAAACAAAAACACCAGTCCTTTCTTCCAGATGCAGTGAAGCCAGCCTGGAATGGCCTTGTTTTTATTAGAGTAACCTGTCTGATCCATGCAGCCTTAACCCCTCCAGCACAGCCCTGCTTTAGTCCAGCTCAATAGGGCTGCTGTCCTCCTGGGCTTCATCCCCTTCCTCCTCTCCAGCCCCCATCAAGCTGTTGAGCAGGTTACCTGGAAGAAGGGAAATGGAAGAATTTGAGGTCAATACTCAAGACTTTCAGTCAGTCGCACAATGTATTTCATTTCTGACTTCATACACTCTCTATCGGCTGTCATATCTGGGACCCTCAGTGTTTATTTATTAAGTGTCCACCCTGATTGATCAGCTGTAATCAATCATTAATTAGTCATCGTCGCTAAAGGGAAAACAAACGTGAGAATCTTAAACTTAAACTAATAAAAAATGACTAAAGCGTGCTAATATCAATGGCTCTGCACAAAGAATGACAACTGTATAACTGCCTTTTCTTTGAAAGTTAACATTTGGATCTGTTGTCCCTTTTTTTCTTCATCATACTGTAACCTAAAAGGACTATTCAAGCTGTCATGTGAAAAACTGAAACCAAACAATAATTTTATGACAAAGGAAACTAACACAAGCACATAATGTTACAGTACCAGTAATGAGATTCTTTTTTTTGATTATATGGATTATTTGCACATGCAATATACAAACTGTTTTATAAAGTTTGAGAAAATGAACAAAGTTAAATGTTTCCTCACCACCTCTACCTAGCGCATCCCCAAATCCCATTCTACAGAGGGACTCCCTTACCTAACAATCCACCATATGATGACGACTGCTTGGGAGGAACTCCGAAGAAGAGCTGTCCTATTCGGTCAAGATACTGTAATAAAGGCAAGGAATTCAAAAACAAAATAAAGTTATTCAGTTGTCAAAAACAGCATGTTATTAATTGGAACTGCTGTTTTGCCCAGTTACAGCGTGATATGGATTGTAAAATGCTTCCCACTGATGTTTGATGCCAAAGATGGCTGTTCAAGTCAACACAAAATCCAGGGATAAAGACAATTAAACTGATTTAATTCCTTGACTGTGCAGGAATGGCAAGCAGTCATTCCATTCTGGTTCAATACTGTGAGCAAAGACAGAGAAATGTAAAACTCACTGTGGAAATCGACCAGATTTTAAAGCAAGTACCGGGTGGCAGTGAATCCTTAAGAAACATCATTTAAATGAGCTTTTATATGTGAGAAAATAAAAAAAGTATATTATATATGACGTTATAGACTTCTGTAGATTTATTTCAAAACAGCACTGTACTTTGCTTGTAGATGTTTGTCTTGTAAAAAGTTTAGAATTAGTATTTCATGGATGTATATGCCACACAAGCGATTACAACCCAACTGGTACCTGAAGTTATATTTATATTATTATTTTGAATTGTGCCATAAGCAGTCTTTTTATTTACATTTTTATACAAAATAGTATAAAGATCACCCTCTTACATACTGTATATAAGGTTTGCTAATTTACTTTTCTAACCTGTTTATCTTAAATGTGAGTGTTTAGCAATTTAGAATATCCTTCACCTTTTTTATTCTAATAGCATACCATTCAGTTGTCTCATTAGGCATCATGTAATAATGATATATACTGCATAAATCATAACAATGGTGATTTTAAATAACTGAAAGCAATATACATGTTTTTCAGGAATCATAGCCAAAAAATCCAGTGCCATACCTCATTGTACATAGGATCCCTTTTCAATGATGGCTGATACTGTTCACATAACACTGTAAAAACGGTTAGCTTACCCCTGGAACAGAGACAGAACACAAGCTTTTTCAATGTAAATGATATCAAATCAATCTTCATACACTACAATTCTACAACCGACTTTCACCCCCAGTGAGAATCAGCATTCACTGTGAGACAATATGCCATAAGTTTAGGGTCTTTTATGTTCAGATGCAAGACTGATGTGCTGCAGTGACCGCTCTGAAAACAGTTGATTCTTAACAGAGAAGACAACGAAAGCAAACTGCAAACCCAAACAGCTCTTCCAAAATTCGCCGCTGCTTCTGTAGGGGGATTCATATCTGGCATACAGTATAAGAAGCAGATTACATTAGTGGTCTCATGTTTTATATTATTGTAAAAGAGGGCTCATGTCAGAGTGGACTTACCCATCCACTGCGAGTAACAGGAACCAGATGAAATTTAACAAGGGCTGTACAAAGGGAGGGCCCCTCTCTATTGAAGGGTGTTTCTGTGTGTATGTGGTGAAGACCACTGAGGCGCTGCTCTTATTTTTTAAACACAAAAACCTGGGGGGTACAAAAAAACAGAACATTCACTTCTATAGCAGTGTAATAAGAGCAAACAGCCATTTTTGTAAAGGTAAAGATGTTCTTTAGCATGTTCCATATCTAAGCTCTGCATGGTACTACCAAAATGTCAGATTCCCACTCTATACCCACTTTAAATTTACTGCCAACAAAGTACCTGCTTTATTTTATTTGACTTTTTCCCATTTAGCTTTTCGCATTTCATTACATGTAAAAAATACTTAAGATTGACGCAGGTGTATAAAACCTCCAGTAAATACTGTCGGATATCTTACTGAACAAAGTATCTCCTGCTTGACACTGTGCTACCAATGCAATTCGAGACTTAAGCCATTCCTCTGAATTACTGATAAGACCCTAATCCACGGTGAAGGCAGGCCTGAGGAGAAAGCAGTTTCCCACTTCGGGTTCAGAAGTCAATTAAACCCGACGGATCTCCAGTCCTGACGCCACGGCGGCGCGGATGACGGGGCTCGGGGGAGGAGCTCACTGTAAGACGGCCTGGGCCACGAACATGTCCACCTCGCTGCGATACCCCCGCGACGCCGAGTACTCCACCAGCATCTTGGCACAGCCCTCGCCGTCAGAGGAGTGCAGGAAGTGGTAGCGGGATTCGCTGTAGTTTTGTTCTGCGCAGAAAAACAAAACGCATAAACCCCAAGACTGGTATTTATATCGTACGGTAGCTGCCGGTTGGGAATGCCGATTCAGACGGAACAATTAAGAAATGGGGGAAAAAAGCAACGACAGAGACCGTACGTATTCTGGGTGGCTTGCGAAGCCACTGTGAAGAAAAATGACAGTGTTATTTCTTTAATGCTGTAAAACCTCATAATGCCATTTAGATAATTGTGATCAAGCTGTGGTTGGGTCGTGATGCAATATCCTTTTTAAAGATTGGCCTCTGAAATTTCAGTTAGAAATGGAAATAAATACCATCTTTAACTGGTATTTCTTTCAAAGAAAGGACTGCAAAGTAATGAAGCTGTGAATGAGGTCTAGGCAAAATGCAATCACAAATGGATTCTTTATGACCTTTAAATAATTTTCAAAGAATTCTGACAATAGCAGCAGTACAGTGAATTCCACTTAAGACATGACCTGCATACATGATCATTTGGGTAGTGAATTCAGAAAAGTATTATTGTACATGTTATGCAAAACCTTCTTCAATAAAGTGCTTTCTGGCTGCTATAAAGCCTGTGCCTTTACAGCCTACTGAAATCTGGAAGAGGATGTCTCTGTCAGAAGCCGGCGTCCGGGCTGTGTCTTGGCACTACCTTTCCACAGCGTGACAGCGAGCAGCTGGTGCAGCCTGGGGTGCCCCAGCTTGCCAGAACCGCCACTGGACCACTTCAGGGCTCTGGACACGAACGCCACTCGCTCTGGGGAGTTCGGGTCCATCAGGCTGAACAGCTTCGCCAAGTGCTCTGCAAAGCCAACACAATATTATGCCAGTGTCCGGCGGGGAAACCGCTACATCCTGAAACTCATTTTTGTAATTATTATATTGCATTGCTATGATTGGGAAAAATTAGCTGCTGACCCTGTCAGCTCATTGTGTCGGTCTACATTCCTCGCAGGCTCACGCAGTATGAGAATAATGAAGACTACAGTCAGGCCATTCTGTACCTTTGCCACACAGCCCTCCTGGCTTCAACCGTTATTGCCTCTCTGGTTAATTCTTGCCACACTGAAAACGTGGCTGGCTGGTACTCTTAAACCAAGCTTTCATCCTTCCTGACCAATCAGGTATGCAAGACTGTGCAAATCAGAGTCTAACTTAGTCAGGACATGGGAGTTAACAACCCTACTCTAGGTTTACCAACACCTCTTAGAGCAACAACAAAGTTTTCCTCAGCAGTCTCCCACCACAGTGCCTGCTTGTCCCCAGAGGTCTGACCAGATCCGGCTACTGTGTGGCAACAGTACTGTCAGACAGCTATACAGACAGTGAAGACCATGTTAACTGTTCATCAGGGGAAAAAACGTCAAGATGCCAGTGAAAGTCTTACACTGATAATAAACAAATATGTTCTATGCTTGAATACAAAACATACTGGGATTCTTAATTTCAGATAATTTAAGAAGTCAGACAGAACTAGCTCCACTCACCTAAAATTTCATCTGCTACCTTTGTGTCTGATTTTTCCAGTGATTCCAACACCAGCATTGAGAGGTCTGCTGCGCTGTTTTGCTGTGGATGGAAATAAAGAAATACAACTGCATGATCTTCCTGGAAATCTGCTACCCCCGCAGCTCCAGAACACAATGAAAAATTACAAGTGGTTGGAGGATCCTCTGCAGCAGTGAGCCATTTTATTCCGAGGAGCCTGGGACCACACAGATGGTATAAACTGCTCATATTTGCACCTGCACTGCGGCCAAACTCAGTTCCTTCAGAATGGCATGAAGCAGTAACCCACTGTTTTACCATCTCCTATCTTCCCACTCGTTGACACAAATTCAGCTATCATAAGAGACTTTGCATCAAAATAATTACTTTAAATTCCACAATTTACATGCATAGAGGTTAAAAACACATTTCTTTTGGAAAAAGCTACCCTTATTAGGTCACTGTTAAATCATTTCCAAGACTTGGAACAATTTCAATTTACAGCTCATCTGGGATCAAGTGCCCTTCAGTCCTCTAGGGGCTGGCTTTATGTTGAGACTCCTCAGTTAAAGATACTGGAACACAATTTAAGACCCACCCTGCAAAACTAGAAAGCACTGCCCTGTAAGGACCAATTTTAAGGGACATAAGAGCTGACTTTACCCTCAATTTCCAACAATCCCCAACCTCTTCTTCAGTCTGTCATCCAAGGGTCAATACAGAGCCCCGTAAAACAACACTGATCAAGAACCAATGACAGTGTAGCTTGGCACCTTGGGAAGCAGCAGGTGGACAGAATACTACAGGAGGTAAAGCAATGAACAAGAACTGAGCAAACCTCTGTAGCTAAGTACCTGGTTATAACTGAAGAAGAGCAAGGCTCCTGAATACATTAGCTCTCTCGCTTCTGCATGTTTGCCTTGTGACATATACCTGCATGGAGGAAAAATAAAATGAGTGTATCAGAAATATTTACATGATGCCAATCACCATAATTTAGTCTTAAATGTACAATTTATGTAAACGGACAACATTTGTCAACATTTAGTCAGTTGCTCATTACTATGACACTGTTATCGTATATTGAACAGAGTCCTCCAGTGCCCAAGCCCAGGGCTCTGCCCTCCAGAGTTTTAAGTAACAACCAGAGAAGCATTCGTTCATGAAGCTTGAGGATGTGGAGTACGCCAGTCCTGTCATTATGTTCTCCATTTTTTAGCCTAGCCCAACCTGTAGAGAGTTTAGTAGATTGTGTACATTACAGATTTTTTTAATTGCTCTTCTTCCCCACACTCTGCAATGACTTAATGTGCAGAATACAAATACTACATTGCTCCGATTACAATTTGGACCAAAAACTAAAAGCAGACAGATAAGGACACATTAGGCAAAAAGATTAACTCCTAGAAAAACATTTCTGTGAGTGCTAGTCTGTTAAACAATTACCACTATCCTTAATCTAAAACCATAATGCAATCTGAATTGATGCAAAATGATGTTAATTATGCTGTCCTTCTGCCCGTTATTGTAGACGAGCACATTTTTTGGGTCTGATCTTAACCTACATAATCGAGCAGATGTATACTTTTGCATTTGTTGGAGAACTTCCAGAACGACGAACATCAGTAATTATGACAGGAATTCAGCATTAGACTAGGTTACCTAAGGCAGTCAAGATTCACAGACCACCTGTTCAAAACCACACAAAACCACCAAACACACGCACCAGCAGGAGGTGAATCTCACAGCTTCTGTAGGATAAAGATTCACATTAATTGCCAACTCTGTCAGCCAAACTAGTGAAAATACGAAGGACGTCCTAATCAGCAGGGTTAAAATTAAGTTTCCAATTAGCGTGACAAATATTGAGTCCAATATTCTTGAGCACTTATTCTTAGGCAACCAACATTGAAATCATCATACAGACTGCATGGCTGTATTAAAAAAAAACAACAACAGCCACTTTACTAATATATAGCAAAATACTATTACTATAGTAGAGTAGAGGAGTTCCCTGCTATATGTACATGTACATTGGAATTCTTAATCATGCTGATCTCTATAGTAAACTACTGTTATATATATAAAGGTGTACAATGAAAAAAGCCCCTTTCCTTTCACAGAATAGATATCATAGCAGTCTAATGAACTGTCAGGATGCACCTTACAATGGTCTCCAACCCTGGTCCCGTAGAGCCCCAAACCAGCAGATTTTATAGGTTATCAATTTCTAAAGGCTTGGAGCAATTTCTATGTGATCAGATAAGCAAGTGATTTGATTCACAATGCAATTTAAAGATCATCTGGGATCATCTGGGACCAGACTCTTAGAGTGCCCTTCACCCCTTGATGACCAGAGATCTCTTTATTTATCGAAAGTGATTAGTTGCTTAGCTGATCAATAACTTGCAGGCACCCTAAGTGGACTGAGACTCTGCACCCTGGCTGGGCACCCCTGATCCACAGCATTGCAGTAGGATACAGTTACATAATTATTCAGGCTTGCTAATCCAGCCCTTTGCAGCGTTACAACAACAAGCCTTTCGGTTTTAACGTTCTGTTTGACAAAAGTCACAAACCTGGATCCTTAATTTTCTGCTAAATATCTTATCTTTGCAACTATAACTTTTTTTTTGTTGCCTAGATGCCTTATTCCCCTGGTATATTGTAGGCCCGTTTTTAGTAACCGCACACAGGTGACTCGTTGGTGCCCGCAGTAATCTAGGATGAGCACTCAGAAAAGGGGGCTCTGTTTTCGGTGTTTTAATGTGTCAGAAGAATCAGTTACACTGAATACATCAATACTCCCTGTATTAGACCGAGCACAACGGGATTACAGTGTTGCTTCTGCATCGCAATCTACAGCTTGTCAGCATACGGTTTTTCTTTTAGTTTTGCCCGCTGATCTTAATATTTATAGATCTATTCTCCTCCGTTTTCCTCGTTTATTATTTTTTATGTCTTTTGCGGTTTACTTTGCTGCTGGGGGGGTCTTTATCTCTCTCTGCTGGAGACTTGTGTGTCGGTCGCAATTCCGAGATCACTACACAACCGACCAAACCACAAGGTTCAAAACGAAGGAAACAACAACAATAGCGTGCCTGCGATTTAAAAATATAATTTGTGACTGCGGGATGATAATACAAAATAGTAGCGTTGACTTAAAAAAAAAGCCCTTTCCCTTCCTTAATGTTAGTCTGCAAAACCAACCTAGATGACAGCTATCAGTTGATGAACATGAGTCTCGCCCAATCAGAGATCAGAACCGACCTCAAGAACCGGATCCGCACCCACGACTAACCAATCACACGGGGAGGTAGGAGGAGCATAAAGGGGATTGTTAGGTTGAAAGAAAGATCTGGAAACCAAGGCCTTCAACGCTTGTCTGTATTGTATTTTACAACACTTTTTTTATTTTTTGTGCACATGGCTGACACTTACCTAAAGAATAAAGTACGATACATTTGATGGGCTTCATAGTAATCCCCCTTTTCCACACTGGCCCGAAGTTTGCCTTCTACCCTCTGTACACCTCCTCGGTTTCGGGCACTTGAGCATTTCACAGCCTCCTGCTCAGACATCATTGTCGGTTCCCAGTCGGTTGGGCTGATCGCAGCAGCAACAAAAAAGAAAACGACAAAACGGAACTGGCACACCCGGGCTTCCGTAGTGGGGAGTGAGGCTTGATACACGTGTAGGGTCAAAGTTAGGGAGGTGGGCGATAAATATTATCGACCAGTGTGAAGGTAGCGCTCTGCCCCTAGCAATTTCAAACCCATTTGCATTTTCGGTTTGGTACTTGAGCAACTAATGCTCACGTTAACTGAAGTCATTTTTTTTTTGCTCAACTGTTGAGCTGTACATAATGTTAAGACACTTCAAAACCCCAAAGAATTAAGCTATCGTGCATTTTTATGCAAAGACAACTATAATTTGTAATTGCACAACACTGGGGGGGTCTATTCTCAATTCTGTTATTTAGGGCTGTTATTTACTTGCCCTAAACTAAGGGATTAGGGTTACTAACGGACTTTAGTGGACTTTCAATGTCTTTAAAGCATTATCAGCTTAAGGATATGAATAAGGGATAGAGTCGTCTAGTTGCCGCGTAAATAGATCAATGACTTACCTCTGGCAATGAGCTCATTCCAACATAAAGAAACAGAAAAGACCTGCATGGATCGTATTGAGTCACAGTAGCAGTATTTGGCTTCTCGTAATTTAATACGAGTCTCACTAGTTTGGTACAAACCGCAATATTTATTAGCACAAAAGAAGGCCTTGTTATTGGCTTACTGGTATTAGCAGTCAGCAAAAGAGATTTGATTCTGTTCAAATGTTCATTTAGTACATTATGGTGTGCGAGAATTGGCATTGCATCTATTGCTTTTTCACACCGAGTAGGAATAGGATCCACAATATAGCCCTAAATATGAGATATTCCATGTCTTTCTCTGCAGGATGAAGCTTGCAGACAGGGCTGCTTTTTTATATCGTCACATACAGTATATTAAACACCTTTAACCTGTAACCCACTGGTGTATTAATAAAAAATTAAAACAGAGAATTTAGAATTTACAATCCCTTGTTATGGCTTTTATCTGCGCCAATGGTCTTTTTTTCCATTCATTAAAGCCATCGCATTATTTATGGCTTTAAAAGGTCAGTTTATTCATAAGTTTTAGTTAAATTAAAGGGAAGACGTTAAGAACTGGCAGCTAAATCCACAGTACTGATTCAGAAGTACTGTGGTTTTGGGAGCATTTCATTTCAAAGCATCTGCTTTGATTTGTACAGAAAGCGCTCTACAAATCCGTCTATTTTTGAGCAAGACGTCCTCTCATTCAGTTTTTTAAGTAGCCACTAGGTGGAAGGAGAGAGTCTGTTTTTCTAAGACTGGCGACATTCCAGTCAGCAGTTATTTCTGCGGCGGAATCCAGCTCATAAACAAGTATGGGACCAGCTGGAGCCAGAAACATTTAAAACATCTGTTACAATTACGCCACTTTTTGTGCTCTTTGCAACTATCGTGCTTTTTGCATTCGGACATGGTGCCTGATCAAACTGTAGAACTTTAATGACCTTTAGAGAAATTTAAACTTAACATTTTAATTATGAAAATGTTATGAAAAGAGTAAATATGTCTTTTTGTGTTTAAAAAGAAAGAGTGTCTAAGGTATGCCCAAGGATTCCATTAACCAAAAGCTTTTGGGGTTTTGACGGTTTCAGGGCAGTGGCGATTTCTTCAGCATGAGGGTAATTTTCCATCATATATCCTTGCCCTGGAGGAGGGGCAGGCCATACCGCCAGAATTCAAGAGAAATCATCCCTTCAGCCAGTTTGCCCGTGGATGACGAGCACATGTGTGTATATGTACTGTACTTGATCATAGGGAAATCACCATCTTTGATGGGTGCCTTGATAGATACTCACATATGAACTTACAGAACACACCTGACGGATATTTTAAGTAATGTTAGCTATTGTTTCAATCATCTCATCTTACATAGGCAAAAGATTAACAAGTGGTGCTTTTGTTTTGGGTGTGATTTCGCCGGATTGATTGTGAATATACCATTGCCGTACCACATTCCAGAGGGGGGCTTGATTGTGAATATACCATTGCCGTACCACATTCCAGAGGGGGGCTCCCGAGTGGTCCGACTGGCTATAAGATTACAGCACTGCATCGTTAGAACATCAGAGGAGCCATCGTTCATTGGCCCGTGGTTCAGATCTCATGTCCTGCTCCAGCTAGACCTCTCCTGACCTGTCCTCACCTGCCCATGCTTTCACGAAGAGCTGAAGAGGTTGAGTACACTTATGTGACAAGACATTGCTGTAACAGGGGCCATGTTGCTGATTATATTTTAAAGGCACACTATAGTACAGTACAATCTATTATAACATGATGCATGTTAAATCAGGGTGTACCAACCCATTTCTATTATTCCATCTATTAACCACATGCAGTTAGTTCCTAGTTCACAAAGCTGAACTCAATGGTTGATGTACAGTCTGCCGAGGATGAAAAAAATACCCTACATTCACTTTAAAATATTACATGCATTAGCTCTCAAAAATTTAAATCCTTTATTTGAACATTTCCGTAGCTGTTTGTCCATGTTATAATAGCAAAGACAAATTTAAAAAAAGAAAATAAAACTGTCTCAAGACGATCCAAATAGATTGAAAAGCATTTACAAAAATACATTGCACAAAGTCCAATCTTTAACTCGTTATTTTTTTAAAAATAAATAGTGTTATTAACAGTTCCCATCCCTCTATAACCTGGCTTTGCTGGAGATATACAAGTGATGCATTTTAAAAATACAGTTTAGAATTTTATCCTGACGGGCCACTCTTAATAGAGGATGCCTATGTGTTTGGTTTTTCCTTTTTAAGATATTTCTACAAATTACAAGGACTTGTGCAATATACACTCTTATAACAAGTCAGAAGCGTGTCCTTCAACTTTTCCAGTAAAAAAAAAATAAAAATGACAGGGTATAACTTTTAAAGCAACACTGATATAGCAGACTTTAAAGACAAACTATTAACAATAAAACGTACAATTACATTCCTGCCCAGATGATGGATAACAGTCGGATCAACATTTTAACTATTCTGTCTTCGATATCAAATATCAACATTTGTGTACTGCCAGCTGGAGCAGGAAGTGTTGAGTTGTGGATGTTTCTTTCCCTCTAAGTTTTGAAAAATATTCTGCAGCTATTAGTGCATGAATAGCAAATAAACATCAGTAGTTTGTACAGCATGAACAGTGAGCTTGCCATTCAGGTATAATATTCTTGGGGAATTTCCTATTTGATCCCTAGCATAAAATGTTTTAATGCATTTTGGGGGAAAAAAAGCATCTCCAAATCCTTACTTTAAAAAAAAGTTATTATAGCAGAATAACCATTATAGAAAACTAAATAAAGGTTACATTTAGATCTGATGCCGTTTTCACCAAACCAGTTTGTTCATCCTTGCAACAGACAGAACAGCCAATCCAGTGTACACCAGATCTCACCAAGGGAGAGAGCTTTGCTATATTCCTTTACATCCATCCATCCATTATAAAACTTGAGGTTATTATCACTTCAAAAGCGTTGCCTTTTACGAGATAGGTATAGTGGTCAAGACCGTAATTTTTCCAGCTGTATACCCTTAGGCTGACCACACGTCAGCATTCAGTGCAGGCGTCAAGTGCCAGAAACGTAAGGAGGTCAAATTGTTCTGCAGATGTCAGATTTAGCTATTCCTCTTTTTTTAGAGTTTAGGAGGTGTAGCTTCACGTTGGCCCAGACATGTTCCTCCATGTCCGTAAATAGTCCCAAGTCTTCCACTATATACAAAATAAACCACTGTACATTTGGAGGAGAAAGTCCGAGATGACTCATTTCTTGTAGGGCTCTCCGTGTACTCTGAATCGATAGAGACAGGTGTACTCCGGATGACCCCAGTTGGAAAGCACTCTGACTTCTATGATCTGGTAGGCTTTGTCATTTTCCTCCTAAAAAAAAGAAATAGTTTTCAACAACACAAAAATACATACTGGCACTACTGCACATGTAGACACAGATTAAAATGGCTTCGATGCTTTGATGATCTACTTTATAACAAAGTTTAATCGAACCGATTAAACACAAGCCCTAAAACACTGCACACAAGCAGGCCAGACTGCTCTAGAACACAGTACGTCGGGAAAGGAGTGGCATGTTTCGGGGATGTCTAGCTCTGCATTCAGAATGCGCTCCTGGTTTTCTAACGCGACTCCAAGTTTACTAGTCAGAGCCGAGGGAAGTCGATCCTGGCTGGACATTTTGCACAGCTCAGAGGAGAATGAAGCAATGCATCCCAAAACCAGTTTTGAGTTCCCAGCCAAAGCGGGCATACTGACCACTGCACTATTCCTGTAAGCATATTCACAAACACAAGATAAACCTTTCAAGAAAAAAAAAAAGAGATATTCAAAATAAGGGAAGCTTAATGGAACCGAAGGGACTGGGGGCTACATCGATGAAGATGTTTAGTCTGTGTGCCTCCTTTCTAGTAAGCCTTATTAAGGTCGGCCTCACAATTCAAGTTTGCTGTTTGAATTTGGAAGAATAATTCAAGACGTAAAAATTGATTTAGGTTGAAAACGTACGGTTACAGGAAAGGTCTGGAAGGACTCTCCATCTTCTTCATAAGTGTAACGTCCCAGAAGCTTTCCCTCTTCCTGGTATTCATCCTCTAGACCCTGGGACAAACCACAACACATGGAGACAAGACTGTTACTCTTCCCCAACACAAATGGACTTATCAGTTTGATTATTGGAGTAATTAAAGAACAGCCTTTCTAAAATGTATGTTACACATGCATTTTAGAAGAAGCCACTATCAATTTTAGCCAATATGCTACACATTCCTTCCTTTTTACTGTAAGCCAAAGAGCCCACAACTCTTTTGATAAAGGACTGTCCTGGCTTTAACTATGAGCAACATCTAGTTATGATTCAACAATCAAAATGGCAAACCTTCTGGATGAGCCAAAGTCTAATCCTACAGCATACAATATTACATTTACCAGAAAAATTCTTGATCAGATTTTAAACAATTGATCGTGTCTTTACAAAAAAATTAAAACAAGTCAGAAACTAGCACAACACAGTGCAACAGCAGGAACACACCACGCACTTTGGGCAAACTTTTACCTATTTTTTTTTTCCAGTAGCTGAACATCTGACTCAATCACAAAACGTGACTTTTGTTCTAAAAGCAATTAAATGCAATACATTATTTCAGAGGCGGTCCAATTCTTACAGTTTAGAAATTGGAAAGAGAATTTCCACCAAACAAGTGGACGTAATCTTGGTTTGACTAAGGTTTATTTTTTCCCTTAAAACCTTCCCCTTATTCCACAAAAATTCAAGTCAAAGGCATACAGAATATTTTGACATTGCCAGCTTACTATATACTGAAAATCCAAGCCTTACAACAGCACATCCACTGTAGTGCACGTCTGTTGTGTAAAACGATCATGTGTAGTTATAAACAGCACACCATTAAAGGGGAACTGCAACTATTTTGATATTATATATCAGCATTGGATGAGTGCATTTCAAACCACAATAAAAGAAATGTTCAGAGTAAATTGGAGGTTTTACAAGTTACATCACAAAAACATTACATCAAATTACATCAGGAAATTTCCAGGCATGCGCAGCACCATGTTCTGTTCAGTACGAGGCAACAAAACTTCTGGTGACGTGTTGCAGCAAACCAGCAGGCTTGGGAGTACGTCTCTTTTAATCCAATAGAAATACTGCTCTCGACTGCCGACAAATACGACCTACCCGTCGTAGAAATGTCTACTGCACGCCCTGTTTTTATTTTCTCCTGCACTGCATTGCATTAGTCATTACAGAGACCATCGAGCAGGAAGGACTGCTTCACGTCACAATGCATGGGAACACAAATGCGAGTTTGCAACAACAACTGTCACAAAGTTCACAGTTGATTTTGGGCTTGATTCAAAATTCGTAAACTTTTTCTCCAACACCTCAATGCATTGATTTGGTTGCCGAGGTTTAATAACCAGTCTGGAGATGGGGACTGCAGTTCCTCTTTAAGTCAGCAGGACTTTACAGAGCCCCGAACAAGGCCGATCGGTCTCCTGTAGCTGCACGCCGCCATGCAATCGAAGACATGGAGAAGCCAGGGAGCGTCGCCGACTTACATAGACGGTGAAATTGCGGGGGGCGCTGCTGATGTGGCCCGTGGGCGAGAGGGCCTTGGGGATGTGCTCCAGGGTGAAGGAGGAGGGGATGATGGTCAGGGAAAGACGAATGACCAGGTAGCCCTGCGAGCCCTTGAAAGCCCAGCAGTTCCCAGGGTAAACATCCGGCTGGAGGAGGGAGGCAGAATTATTTTTCAAGTGGCAGATGAGTAGAAAAGTATCATTAAAAATGACTCTCCCCACCTTGACCTTTCAAATGCTGTTACTTCTAAGATAAAAGGATTTATTATGGGATTGTAACCAACAACCGAGACCCACCACCTTTCAAAAAATAGATATACACATGCACTCAACAGAAGAGCACACGGGAAGCAAATTTTTATCATGCAAAAGAGTAATAAACATTACAGTTTAACATCACCACCATTATTGCTCACATTAAACCAGTCTTTTCCAAAATGCATTGGCTGGCATAACTGCAAAAAAAACTAAGAACTACAACAGGTGGCAAATGCAATTTCATATAAATACAAATTTAAATATAAATTTTTACTTCTGAGAGACTAGAATCTCTACTTTGCTTTTTAAAGTGGACAAGGAGCTCTGACTCTAGATAGATAGATAATACTTCATTAATCCCGTAGGGAAATTGATGAAATATATGCTTACAGGATGCATCAAATATCGATTTCTCCGGGCTACAGTGTGCTGACTCACCTGTATGACGACCCGTGGAGACTGGGAGAAGTACCAGAGAGGGACCCCAAACAGGCTCATCAGGGCTGTCTTGGTCTCATAGGTCTCGGAGCACCGGGTGCTGAGGATGCTGCCGCCTACCAAGAACATGGCAGTGATTAGCGTATCCGTGAGCCGAGTCCTCGCGCCCTGATCTCGAAGACGCGGGTGCGGGGCAGCAGGAAGAAACTAAAATACTCATTCGCCGGCAGCTGTCCATCCAGGTAAATCAATTCATTGTCTATTGTTTCACAAGTGATTACACATAAGTGATTTATAAACTTGACGGTCATTAAATACAAAAAAAAAAAAGAAATGTGGTACTTCCGAAGATTGTAGAGATACTGTGACTTTGTGTGCTACTTGTCAAAGTCCCTGTGAAATATCGACTGCCAATTTTCAAAGGAAGAGAATCTGCCCAAAGCCTGCGATCTAGATGAGCTGGAAGACTCACTGTGACGGTAGTGTAATGTTGGCACACCCATGCCGCTAGTGCTTTGTTAGTAAGGCTCAGGCTTAGTATTAACATGGGAATGTTAAAGCTCTGTGCAATAATGGGAGTTGCTTGCATCTGAAGGTTTGTCTCAGCAAAGAAAGTTACTGCTCCAGAAGGTTGGACTTTTCCTTCCACAGTGTGCCGAGAACAGACTTATTTTGTGGGAATACACACATAATAATCAACACTCATATTACACTTGTGACAGTATGAATTTATCATCCTTCATGAAAACAGTAACTCCTACAGCAGGACACCTACAGACAACTGGGGAATGTTCATCAGTATCATATCTGTTTTAGAACAGACAACAGTTTATTAGGGATACGATTTTCCATGTTTTAACACCACACATGTAATGGAGGAGCAAACAGGAATAGTTAGCAGCGACAGTCTCCACCAGGTGAATTAGAAATCCCAGCATCAATAATATCATAAAAGTTCAGAAGGGACACAAAACTGCTTAAAACAGGTCTTATTTTTTTCTCAATCTGCTGCAGAAACTAAATGCAGAATATGTGATATAAATTCTTGATCTTACCCACACTGTTCACTGCTCTCGCCAGTTCTAAATCATGTGTAAAAAAAGCAAAAGTAGCAGCTACTGTACCTCCCGATTCTAATGCATAATCCACCAGGCCTGTTCGGTCTTGAGAGTAGAGCCTCAGTGCATTGTTCACGATTGCATGTACCTGCTGTGTGAAGAAACAAGAGCCAGTTGTGCTCAGTTTGAAGGTAGGCTGGGCAAGTAAATCCACTGAGAAGCAGGGTATGAGGGCGGAGAATAACACAATGCCATTTGAAACCGTTTAGATCAGTAAAGCACGTGGTTGCTAGATGGATTAATAGATTCATTCTGCCAAAACAAACAAGTCACAAAGTTAATTTAATTAAGCCTGTAAAAGATCATTCAAATTATTATATACATAGTACATCATTATTGTAATTGTGTATTATACATTTGGTTATCTTTTTCTATTGGATTCCCTTAAAATGGCCAACTGAAACACCTACAGGAACTTTCTACAATGTTTATTGCCTCTTTCTGGGAGCTGTCAGATTTTTTTTCCATACTTAACTGATGTGTTTTGATACGGTTTCATCAAATTCAGATCACTCTTTCCTTGTTGCCAGGCAGATATGTAACTCGCTTTGACGGGTAGTTCAACAAACGTTAAACCAGGAGACGAAATAATGAACGTACAAAATAAATCAGAAACCAGCTTTCCAGACAGGGAAACTGGATGTTTCACCCGGATGAGAAATGTCACCCACCTCCTCCGTTATTCCAGTGACGCCTGCGCCGTTGACAGCACTGGTCACCACCTGAGCAGTGGGCATCTGCTTGGTCTGGCTTGTGTAGCTGGTGATGTTCTTGAACACGCGTTGCTCCAGGGAAGCCAGCCGGCCCTGCAGGTCACCGTGCTGCACGTACTGCGAGGAAAGCCACTGCAGCAGGGACTCGGGCATCTCGGCCTCCCTGCTCCCGTAGATCAGCGTCTTCACGGCCTCCCTGACGCGCGCGTCCACCTTTCACACACATCAGGCCGTTACTCGCGCCTCATCACTACCGCACAACCTCCTCGCCGGCACGCGCCCACCCAAATATCGCTCACGAGGCTCTTCATGCTGAATTCTCAGCAAGCAGCTATGACAGGTTAAAAGCACGGGTTCATACGTTTCCATCCACCGTCCTGTACGATAAAGATCTCGCGACTGTGTCCTATGAATAAGGTTTAAGGAGGATGCTGCCTGGTGATAAGAAATACCCAACAAAGCAGCGGCAGCCAAAATATGGCTCTTGGCTCACTCAACCATTCCCAGTAAAACACTGCGGACAAAGAAGAAACTAATGAACAAGAGTAAAAAAGTATAGACTATAAATCCTACCATAAATATGCGAGTGATTCACTTCCTCCTTGCAACTGTTTACATTTTATGCACATGCTTCTCTCTCTTGCATGACAAGTGACTTATTTAAAAGAATATAGCGAAAGTAATAGTCAAGACACATGAAAGAACAAGCAAGTATGATTCTATCTTCATGGGCAGAATGACAAAGTGCGTCTCCACAGTGCTGATGTTACAGTTCAGCTTGGCGTATTGGGTTTAAGAGGTAAATTTAACACTTGTAGATGAAATTAGGGTTTATAAAACAGATTTGAATCTTGTTTTGCACTCATTTTTCAGGGTAGCAACATGCTTCTGGCATTCATGTAAAACTGCCAACATGTTTACAGTAAGGAGGAGTGGTACTAAACAAACATATTTTGATCATACGTGGAAAAATGCTATCAAATATTTGCTTAATCACAGGTTAAAATGGTGTAGTTAACGTTTTCCTCCAACAAAATATAACAAAAGCCTCATTGCTATGTGAAGGCCTATTAAACACAGAAAGAACATAGTAAGCAGAAGTCACTAAACTTTCTGCAGTCATCTGCCCCAGACCCTCAAGCACTGAGTTCACCCTTAATTCACCCATTAAGATCGAACAGGACCACCATTTCCTTTTTACTGTACGGAAAAATCATTTTCAATAGATCTTCACTTAAACAACTTTCAAGGAATGCATCCCTTTCACAAATCGAGGAGTTGGTATAAATATCCACGTCCTCAATGGGTGGCTCACCAGACTCAACCAGTGTAAAAATGAAAATGGTGTTTGTTTTTGAATACAACAAATATTAAACATTGCACACTATCATGCAGGTTTTCATCCTGTGTAGAAAATTGCTCAACGTAGGCAGACCCACTTAATGATTAACACCTAATGAGCCAGGCACTGCCTGAAGGAAAATAACATCCTCTTGCTCAAGAGCACTCAGTTCACAGGGAGGCCGGCGTGTTGTGTCACTTACAGTGTCTTGGAGGGAGTCCAGAGCCTCGCACTTAGAATGGCAGGTCTTGACACCCAGCAAGTCCGCTTTTATTTGATTCAACTCCAGCTCCAATCGCTTCACTTCAGACAGAAGCAGGCTATGATCATCGCTCTCTTGACTGCAATAAGATTAGGCACATGGACATTCGAGTAAAAACAGGAACTCCGGGTGATTTTCCATTCTTAGTCATTGTGTTCCAGTCATGTCAGCCCACCTTTCACCATACCACAACAAGCTGAATGTTTACTATACTGACATCACGGTAAACGAGGAAGTGGTGAGAAATAGCAGGAGTAAAGTCAAAAGACCTACCTTACGGCTGCTGGTGTGCTCGTTTCACGTTTTTGCCGAACCTCCTATAAATACAATGAATGCAATCATACTTAGCACAAGCTCCAACACTATAAAGTGGTGCTTAAATCCAAGAAGCTTTTTCATGGAAATATTTTCAATTATAATTGAGATCTATGTAAGCCAGCACAATTAACAGTAAATTTTACATTAAAATGTCTTGAAAGAACACAGTACAGTAATGCTACTGTAATCAGTCAGATCTGTACCTCTGTCTTGGCAGCAATAATTTGAAGTAGCCCCTCAAGGTCAGCAATACGAGACTCATGGCTCTGGTGCAAAGCCAAATATTCATTCTGATTCTGCATAAGGAAAAAAAACATGCAAATTACTCTACATTGCTTGCCTTTAGAATGGACAGCACTCAGGTCCCCGTCATAATGAACCAGATGTACAAACATTAAATGGGAAACCATAACACACAACGCATTCAAAAACTGAAGTTTTAATTTGGTCATTAAAATGTGTTCAACACTGTCAGATTAATATAAAAGGAATGAAAACATTTCCCCCCCCACCAATGCAGCTGTGGACAAATTTGGGGAAGTCAGCTGTTTTTGATCTGACAAAAGAGAACGTGAAGAGGTTTTACCAAACAAGAGTCCACTATTCTATCTAAAGCATATAGAGGACCTCCTCATCAGTGATGCATCACCCCTCGAGGGTACCTGTTCCTTCTCCTCCCAGCTCTGCTGGAGATCCTGCTTCAGGATGCTCATCCGCTGGTCAAAGAGGTTGGTGATCCGCGTGGACGCGCCCTCCTCGTCACGGGCACGCGCCAGCTGCTCCTGCAGTTTGCCGTAGAGGCCCAGGAGCTGGCGATGGCGCTCGTCGTACTGCTGGCTGGTCTTCTGGCAGCTGTCCGACAGCAGGGCCAGCCGCTTCTCCAGGCTGATCACGCGCTCAAGATCAAAAACGCCAGAAACACTCTGCACAACAAACAAAGGCAAAAGGCACAGTGGGTTTCAGCTGCTCGATGGAGCATAATGTACACGATAAGTAATTTCTGGTGTGGGTTACACTGCCAAATAACTCAACAAACCCCCTGTGTAATAAACAATGCAGAAAAATAATGTTGTGAATTAGCTATCGGCAATAGTTTGGTCACCATGAAATGATTAAATGTGAAAGTAGACAGGTCTTCAATGTACTAATCTGTATTACTATATCTAATTTGCCACTTACTGTAAAATACAACACCTTGCTGTTACTCAATGCCTTTTTTTATGCATTGATTCTTCGGCTAACATTGTTAAATGCAGTTTTTGTTTAAATGATACATCTGTAAGCAGGGAAGTGAATATACTGAAACTGTGCATGCACTTATTAAACAGGCTGAGTATCCCTCACAATCTGTAGGCCATAAATGTACCTGTCCAAGAACAGAGGACTGGTAAACCAATACAAGCGCGACGGCACTGTTCAATAAAAGCTCCATGAAAGGCAAGTGTTAAAGAACCATCTCCTTGCCTCCGAAGATGGGTGAAGATGAGCCTCTGATTCGTCTTGCTGCTCTGTAGCGACCTGATCCAACGCCGATGAAGGCGTCGGAGTGACGTCGCTTTCAACCTGCCTGTCTGACGAGATCAGGCCAGGCAAGCTGAGCAACAAGCCAGACGGGCTCCAATACCACAGACCTGTGGTGAAAAGACACATGATCTTCCACTCATGCCCAAAGATATGACGGCCTCCCCAATGCAATCTCTGGGAAATGACTAAATTCTCAACTAGAGAACAACATCCTACTACTAAATCCTATTACAATTTAGGTCTACTTGGACACAGACTTGCAATCGAACCGGATGAAAAGTGCCAGGGCTGTCAAGTCCCGATGTGGAGTTTCTCTTATCAGCCGTAATTGGTAGCTTTCATTTTCAGAGTGTACAGCAGCAGCCATGATGTGAAAACCAGTTAATTTATCCTCATGTTACAAGGACACGTCTTTGAAGCCTCAATTAACTTGTTTCAAAGATGCCAGAAGTCATCTCCTAGTGTAAAGTGATTTTGTAATGGCCTGAAGGAAATCTGGTCATTCGGTTGCCCTGCTGTCTGGCGGTTGTATAAAATGACAAACTTGACAAGCATGATCACAGTTGGGTATTCCTGCCAAAATATTTGCACACTTTACAGTTAAATGTAATTATTCAGATAGTGCTTTAGATTGCATTAAAAATATTCAATATAACTTCTAAGTTAATATGTATCAATAATTAGGTACTGGTCAATTCAACAGCAGATTCTCTAATGTTAACCTGTAAATACTTACCAAGTAAAAGCAAGAAAGGAATCAAAAGCAGCAGGAGTTTCAACAGTTTAGGGAGGCATCTGGAACAGAAAATGTAAAAAAAAAAAGGTTCTGTGGTTTCAAACTTTGACATTTGGGGTGAATGGGCTCTATGCTGTAGTAATTCAAAAGAAAAAAAAATACTCCTGTACCAGATGTGAAACACTGGCAACAAGATGAAGATGAAGAAGTGGCAACTTTCTAATTTTACACTGTAACAGCAGGATCTGGCACAGTGAATCACAGAACTGTACCTTGTCTAGGTTTTCGGGTGCGCCCCTGCATGGAAAATAACTGTTACAACAATTAAAGAGAAGGGCAAAAAGGATAACATACTTCAAGGCTGATTCAATTGCCTGCCAAGAAATCTTTACTCTTCATTGCCAATACAGCTACAAGAACAAGAAGACGGTGCCGAAGCATTTCAGCTGTGAATATCTTTTCAGAACCACATTTAAACATGGATGGGATGGGCGGGGGAGACCCAAATTCTATACAGAAGTCAGACTTGAAAATCCCATTCGAGCAGAAAATTCTCCCAGTAAAGAACATGAGAACAACAGCTCACCTTGTTAGGATAAACACATTTAAGAGCGACATAAGTGTAACAAGGTGATACCATCCAGTCCCTAACCACCAGAACGCTCCTGTTGCTGCTCTGCCTGCAGTGGAAGGGAGAAAAAAAAATGGTTGTTAGAGTCCTTTGGAGAGGAAATTCGAAGATCTGATCCAGGAGAGATGCATGCAGATCCTCAGGGATATTTGGTCTCACATGAAACACCAGCAGTAAGGCAGGAGAAGGGAAAGAAAAGAGCTTGTCAAAGCCAAAGCAAAGAGTCTGCAACAGAGCCAAAGAAATCCAGCTGTTCAATTGTCTTAACCAAGAATGAACTACAGCGAACCCTCAGTTTACCAGACTGCACTTTAATGGACAAAACCTGCTAAAGGGAAATCCTGTCAGTAAAATGGAAAATACCATTCCCCACAACGCCAACGAATAAAATAAAAACTATATGGGTTGGAAATTCACGAGTATCAGCAGTACCCTACAAGGGTAGGTCAATTTCTTACGATGCATGTTTGTGTTTTGTATTCTTTAGTGAATTTTATACAGTATTATTTACAATTCCTGAAATAGTTTGTATAATAATCTACAAAATAATACCATATTGATCTTCAGTTGTAAAAATAAAAATAAGTCAAAAGACCCAGAAATCGGTTATACAGAAAATATTTTTCATATAATAGTGTTTTGGGCTAAAAAAAGTCCTTTGTTTCTTAATGGACTTTCAGCAATAACAGACACCTCTTCCCCCTGTTAGGCAGTTAAAGTGCGGGTCTCCTGTACATAATGAGCGCTTGCTGCATTGAGTGGAGCATAAATCAGGTGTGGATCAGTCAAAGCCTTGTATCGCGTTGGAGTTTTCTATATAAGGGACTGTTCTCAAAGAGGATTCACGGCACAAAAAATAATACCAGAATTATATGGCAACTTAAACTCTCCCTGACAGTGCAACCTTCAATAGCTTTATACTGTATGGTGCAAGCTTTCCACTGGGTAGATGAAAGCAGCTTTCAGCTGACCTGTCTAGAATTTGCTTTTGGTGCATTAGGTTCTGATGTTTTCTTTACCTTAATCTGAATAATGCAGATTACATACAAGGAGACATCTGTCATCCATAAACAGAGGACCAAGATAAATACAGCCTGAAAATGGAGACGGAAAGGACTAACTTTTTAACGCCGGTTAATTAAACACCTCAGAAAATCAGAAAACCTTCAGCAACGGGGCCTGACAGGAAGACAGGCCAAGTGACACAAATAACTTTAACACAATACAGACAAAGGTACAAGGCAGTGCTGGCCAATCATGGCACAGGTCAGCCGAGATCCCCAAGCCCTGCCCGTGATTAATTTCACACAGAGACGCGCTGCCGTTAGTGGAAAGAGCCTACATTCTAAAAAGCATCCGCACAAACCACCCGCATTAGCCGACAGAAGGAAAGAGATCATGCAGCTGTTAAAACATCAAGAACTAGAAGAATAACCTGGAGACACAACGGCCAACCACAGAAAAGACCACAGCTTCTTGGTAACAAACCAGCCAGCAGAGGCAACTGTCCGTACTGCTTGAAACAAATAGTAGCCTACAAACAATAAATAATGAAAAAAATAATTAAAAAGCAAACACTGGCGTTGACGAACATTAAGTCTTAAATTGAACAAGCACCTGTCTTTCTTACTTGTTAACCTCTGCATCTGCTGGTTATAACACCAACTTAATCTGAGGTTCGCACTGCACACTGGTTCAATTACAAGGGTGATTCCATACAGAGCAGCCACTTATAATCACCCATGTACAGTGCTTCTCATTTTTTTTAAATTAACATTAACATCTAATCTCTTTTGAAAACATCCACTGATCACAAACTTCAAACTATAGCCAATCATGTTTCTCATAATAAATCAAATCTCCTTTCAATAGTTTTAATGATATCAAACCAACATTGAAACGAACAGCTACAGCAGTTAAGGTGCTGGTTTGCACAGTTTATTATAGCCATGCCACATGCGTGACTTCATTAGCGTCTCCTCAGTGAGTACTGGAGCACTCTGGCTGCCATCGCATCATCCAGGTGGGGCTGCACATTGGTGGTGGAGGGGAGTCCCCATTACCAGTAAACCTTTTGAGTAGAGTGTCTAGAAAAGTGCTATATAAGCGTTAGGAATTAAGTAGTCAGCATAGCTGAATATTACAAACTTTAATTTAGAAAATCAGTGGAAATTTGGAAATACAAATTGTATTCTGCTTATTGCAGAACTTGCCGATTTCACGGATGGAATAACATGACATCTATCCACATGTATTATATTAACTTGGGCATTTGTTTCTTGGTCATGGACAAAACGGGAAATTAACATTTAACATTGAACTTTCAACTTAAAGCTGAATGAACTGGTTTCATTTACAGAGATGATCTCAGTCGATGACAAGCAAGAACACCATGAAATAAAATTATAACCAGAAGATGCAGACCATACGAAGCTGGATAACCTATTTTCAGACAAAACAGAGGAGAACATGTCAAAGAAACTCCAAGACACTGCAGTAGACATCAAATGCAGTCCTGGCTCAAATTTTCAGTCAATTACAAAATAGTAAGGGGAAGGGGTTCACTTTCTTCTTTTATGAAATTTATTGCAATAAGAAAAAAAGATTGCACCTGCTGTAAGCTTTCTACCTAATATGCTAAAGTAAAAAGCATAGCTACAGCATGTACAGTACTAGTCATTTTCAATAACATAGATTGTTACAATTATTTTTCTTCAAAAAGCATAAAAACAAAAAAGTAAATACTTGACATTCAGTGCTAAATTTAAGTCGTGCATGTTTTCTCTACCAAGAAGAGGAGAATAAACTTAAGACCCCTCACACTGTACAATAGCTGAACTAATCATGTATAAGGATCTGGTGCAGGGCAATGGACACCGCGGCCGTGAGGGAGGACGACAGAAGAGGTGAATCAACCTGTATAAGCAACGATGTGCCATAAGGTCCGTGTGGCGGTGCTAAATCTTGAAGACCGCATGTGGACTGTTTGTGTCTCAAGGTGCTTCTTCCCTTTACAGTCGTCACCTGTTGGTGGTGGTAACATTGTAAAAAATCACGCATGCAGTGGAGCTGAAAAACATTATCTTCTAGGCTGCAGTGCTCTCAATCCAGGTCATGTATATGGCGGATGAAAATAAAAATTCACATCAATTATGCAGTTGATCTGAGTGCACACTCATTTTCTCCCACGTCATCAGCATGACAGATCAAGCAGTTTTACAGGCGTGTACAAGTGCAGGTTTCCAGCCGATTCAGTGTCTGCAGATGTACAGATAAAGCTGTGTGACTTGCACTCGTCTTTGCACAAACTGCAAAAGCCCGGTAAAGGGAAAATTTGCTGGTTGTTCTAAGACAAAACACCATAACTTCACCGATTCACACAAATGACAGTACAGCCTGAAGCCACAATTGCTTCATATGTTAACAGGCTGGTAGTGTAATTTTGACAAGCTGTACTAATACGTGGGCACTGATGGATATTTTGTACCTTTCTCTATTCCTGTAAATATAATTATAAATACATATAAATATATAATAAAATGTAATTATGACATTTTGAATTAACTGCTGTTAACCTAAAAACACAAAAGGTTATTTGCCTGTAGTGAGATAAGTGATGTGGCATGTGATGACTCTCACTCCAGAAATCAAGGAATATAAATGGACAGAAATAAAACTATGTCATAAGAATACTATTACTGTTAATATCACATTAAACCGTAAGTGATCAACGAATAGAAAAAAAAAGCCTTTAATGAACAGGTCAAGTCCACTCTCATAACTTTCTCCCACTCAGATGTAAAAACCATGCCCGTTAAAGAAACCAGGATCTCACATGGGCAACGATATCAAACATCTTGAACAAGATCTGTAGCTTCCACCTCCTGGGCAACAGGAAATATTTCAGATTAAAAGAATAACATTTCACAGTACAATTTCACTCCCTGAAGATGACATTCAGCACTTCAATAATTTAGCCGAGTTCAGACAAGTGCCCTTCCTCTCCGAAGCAGTCCACATGACCAGCCCACTGAATCAGGATGGAGAATCCTTCTCACAACACTCAAACTCAACAGTCGCAGACTGGCAATCCCTCGTCTCTCGTGGCCGATTACAATGACAGCGAGGGCGATGTACCAAGAGAGCAGTACTTACACAAAGACCCATTTAAATTTAGCCGTCCGTCCCCAGTCATCAAATCTTTGACGTTCATGCTTCCGCAAAAGCTTGAATGGGCTGCAACAGAAAAATCAGAATTATGCTTTTGCTCCCCTGTCCCTCCAGCCCCAGCGAATGAGCGCAAGTCGGAAAGCAAATTATTTGCATGTAGCCAGGGCGACAGCATCAAAGGGTGAGCCCATTTGCTTACTAGTAAAACGAGAAGTTACTGAATAAGCCCAGGAAAGGGATTACTCATACCCATGGAGAAAGGGGTAGCAAATCCAGCAGGGCAGCACTCAAGTGTCGCCTCAGCTGAGATCTTTTGGGGTTGTGCTGGGAGGGATGATGATTGAGCTTCTTATGGGTGTTAGGGCAGATTGTAAAGATATGATGCACCTCGTAAGGCCTCGAAACTCCAAAATTTGAATAAACGTTGAGGCCAAAAGGGATTTCCGCCACCAATTTGCAGCACAATGCTCTATCACAGGAAGAGTACCGAGAGTAAGCACTACACTAACCCTCCCACTGCACAGGAAAAGAATTACAATTCACTAAGGTGAATCTGTTTCTACTGCAATGTGATCTAACAGGGCAGAGTGGCAAAAACGAATTGTAAATTTAAATGATCCATTTTTGCCACTGGATGTCTGGAAATGCAAAAGTTATGGAAGAGTCAGAAAATAAGAAAATGTTTCCAACAGGTGCAGCCTCTTTGGAATAAAACCCAGTGACATGCAAGCATGGCCCCTTCAACTTGCCCAGATGAACAGCTCAAGAGAGTGCAAGAGAGTGCTCTGCTTCATTCCACAGACAGCAGAGTGAAGGTCACCAGCGAAGCAAGAAAGGTCAGGTATACACTTTGTAACAGATACCTTTCCCTTCATAACCGATCTTCAAGAGAATGTTTTGAAATAGCAGCATGACTGCAGAAAATACAGATGCTGCAGCACGCCTGCTGGTACGGAGGCATTTATCTCTGATCGAATGAAGAATACCTATTGGGAGACCAAATCATTGAGGTGTTAAAGTACAGTATTCAACAATACAAATAAAAGGCCCATTAGGTGTCTGAGTTTAATTTCTATGCTTACAATTAGTGTCACTTATATATAATACACTTAAGGCCATGTATTCTATATTCCTGCAAGAGAAACTGGCAACTCAAAATATCCACTGGAGCAAGAGCTTTAGAAGTTGAATCCCAAAACTGTATTTTGGATATTTTTCTTTTTGTTGACATGTCCACTGCAGTCATGCTAATGTGGCTCTGCAGTAGCAGCTGGACAAGGGGCTCACACTGCTCTGGCACTATACTGCTCTGCCTCACCATTACTGTGAAAGCAGGAGGCCCATGAGCAGAAAGGGAAAAGATTAAAAAGACCAGACGTGCCCGTGTTTGACTACCATGGACACATATAAGTGACAGCACAGCGGTCACTGCATCAAAGGGAAATAGAAAAATCTTCAAGTGTTCGTAAGATCTAGCAATGTGCATTTAAAGCAACCAGGAGACAAAAACAAACACTTTCTTAGTTGTAATACAATGACTCTAAAAGCAAGAATATTTAAAGCTGTGGGCTCCAGCCCCTGTGCAACTCTCATATGCTAAAAACCTATATAAAATATCTTAGCCTCACATTATATTTATATTGTAGATCATCTAAAACAAAGTCAATAAATAGACGCTATTGTGTGGGAAAGTATTAAAAAACTGACATTCACTAAACAAAGCAATTAAATAAGACAGTCTACAATTAGTAACCACCTAAAAATAGAAAAAAGGGATATGATTTTTAATTGCTACACTTTTAACCAAAACGGCTCAGAGTAAAAGCACCAAAAATAACTGCTGTTCAGCTGTGTCACGACTCCTGCATCTTCCACACTCTTCTTAACCTCTCGTTAACACGTCTTCCTCATTTTCCCATGACAAGATAAACATTTACATTTAGTTAAAAGAACATTCAGTGCAATGAAATGTCTTTTGTTCACCCATTTATCATTCCTTCTATTTACGCCTTTGGTATTTTCCATGTTGCCACCAAAATGACAAAACCCTTATTGAAGAAAACGGTTCAACCTATCAAACGCCGTTTCATCAAATTTACACTTACTCTAGGAATACGACAGGCACAAAATTTCAGCGCCGCCAAAACACCATAATCTGTGACCATTTTTGAAAGACATTACAATGAGTTTTGTCAAAGCTGTGTGAAGACGTGGGGGTCAATAGTTACACGTCCCACAACCCAACAGCGCCAAACGTCCAGGTGTGGCGAGGGTCCTGACCTGACTTGTGCCTTTTGGTCTTGTCGTAGCTGTAGACGGTGGAGGAGGGGGTGGGGGAGTGGGAGTGCGAGGAGGACGAGTAGGTTGTCAGAACATCTTTCCTCTGAGACAGTATGCTGCAGTCGTTGCAGATGTAGCCATTCGCCATGCTGGTCTGGGTTTCTGCGGTGTTGAGGTCTCCATTTCCCTGAACTACAGTCGTATCTCCACCTAAGAGGAAAAAAAAACGCACTGAAAAACAGCTCTGAAAAAATTTCAGTTAAAAAAAAAATATTCAACAATATTCAAAATATTCAAAGCCAATTTCCCTCATTCTCCAGCTACCCTCTATGCCCATCAGTTATCGACCACACAAGGACTGACTGCAACTATGCTCTCCTATGTGCTACCAAGTACACGCTCAGTCCACAGTTATTACATCTCATTGCTCAAGTGTATTCATACTTTCCAATGCAGGACGTTCCCTGCTTTTTACTTTTGCTTCACCGTTTTAAATGCGTCACCTGTCAAGAGGTTTGTGAAACCACTCTAGCCTTGCACACAATCTTGCAGTCACAGCAGGGTTTGAGGTGGAGTGCAGAGTGAAGCAAGCAAGCAAAAATGTATAACTGCAGAACTCACCTTTAAGGTCTCTATCTTCATCCAGACCTGTTAAAACAAAAGGCAAATTCTTGCAGTGATACTGCACAGATATGAAATGAAGCATGAACTACAGAAGAATCCTAATTAACTGCTGTTCACTCAACAAGACCCAGATTTTAGTGTATTATACAAAAAGGCACCCTGAACTGAAGTACCCCTAAAAACAAGAGTAGTACACCACCTCTTAGTTTAGAACTGGCTCTTCTTTCTCTCTCTTTCTTTAGATTTAAGGTTGGACCATTGCAGCACACTCAATCAATTTTAAAAACAATGGTTACTTTTTCAGTCTATGAAAAATGAATCGCTAGAAGAGGGGTGAAAATATGCATTTTTGTTTAAAGATCACATCAGCTTGATGGAACCAGACCTACTGAGGCAGGAAAAGATGAGCAGCTGAAGAACAGCCTTTACAACATCTGAAGTAAATTATGCATGAAGATAAGAGTACAGACTATTCCGGTAGCCATTATAATTTAAAGTATGACAGAGTCCCTAAATAAATGCAGACTGCAACTTGAAATGAGAAGAGGGGACAGAGGAATTTAAGAGATTTTAACACTGTTGTATATAAATTATACTTTGTGTGTTACAGCTAAAATAAAATGCAGAAACAATCTGATGCACAGGAAATGCAAACAGGATGCCCAAGTGCAAAACGGTGAGATTTTTAATTCAATGGATGAGACTACAGTACAACATTAAAACAAGAAGAATGTTCATCAGTTCATCTTTTTAGACAGACCCAATTCATACAATTATTTATTTATATATAAGCATCATTAATTATTGCTGTTCTTTTGAAAATGCAATACTTTCATTTACAAACAACACACAGCAGTCTCTATAAAGGTCAGACAGGAGGAAATCTGAGGTTGATAGCTCAGTATTAGTGGACCAGTAGGCGGCACTCTTCCCTTAGGAGAGGACCTCCCTACCAGTGGTCCATAAGCAACAGCAACACTATAAATTATTGAATCCTGCAGGTGAAGAATAAAAATGGAGATCATTAAATATCCTATGTTGGTATTTGTAAAATGAAGCGTGCCGATTTTAATGTAACACTAACACCTACCCCAAAAGCTGTCCACTAATGTCTTCTCTTGTATGGAGGACTCATCTAACAGCGTGGACATCAGGGACACGTCACTGGCACAGCTGTGGAAGCTGTTCTGGCCGAGGATGAGGGAACTGTCCGACTGAGTCTTGGAAGGAGTCTGTTGTGAAGTCAGTGCAGTCTGCTTGTGGGATGTTCTGTTTAGAGTCCTAGACACGCACAAAGAGAATGTAGAATGGTTGACTGTTTATTGGCAATTACCTGGTTAGCACTCGGATCATTCGGGTCGCGGGACCAGTGCCGTGCCAGTCGTTACGAGCGCAGCCCTGCAGCGAACGGACCAAGCCTGCCCGAGGTGCTGCTCACAGCACATCTGTCTGCTGGGCCAGTGGTCACCTGGCTGGCAAGTGACCCCTCTCACAGCCAACTAGCTAACGAGTCACTGCGACCCGGCACTGCTTTGAATAAACAATGCGTCACTTTGGAGTAATTCCACACGATGTCCAACCAGTCGTTTCCAATGATCTTAAGCACCGGAACGTTCCATTTCAGAGCAATGACTACAGAAGTGCCACCAGGGGGAAAAAAAAACAAACTGTTTTCTCAGCACAACGGCGGTGCCAAGGGAAACACTCGCCTGTAGGCTCTGCCACCCCCACTGTAGGACACTTTGCTGCGGCTGGAGTCCAGGAAGCCATCGTCCGAGAAGTGCCCCGTGATTGCCAGGCGCAAGCTCCGCCGGGACATCCTGGGGGAGTCGAAGACCGGCTCGAGCTTGTGCTGGCTCTCAAAGTCGAGCGCTGCAGAAGAGTAGCTGGAGCTGCAGAATATAAAGGCAATGTACCGCTTTAAGGGCTTAAGGGTCTGGGTTATTAGGTGCTCAGGGTTCGAGGCAAAGACAAACGCAAAATAGAGTGAATTAAAAGACATACTTAAAGATAATGGACACAGATGTCTGCTTGACAGCAATGAGTGACAGTGTCCTTGTGTAACCAAAATAAATTTGTCACATTTACACGCTGTAAATTCCTATTTTACACAGAAAGGGACCGATTCCATGGGTGTACTTAACGCATTGCCATATCTCATCACTGCAGGCACTATCAAGCACGTCACACCTGTAGAAATCTTAAAGAAAACACCCTCAGGTAAGACAGCACAGGCAGACACATACCTAGGAGAAATTCAGATTGTAACTGGAGCCGAAATTAACATTGCAAAGAAATATGTTGTAGGCCAGCCACAAGTTACTAGCTTTGCTGCCCTTCTTTATCTTTTCCTATTTAGTGGCCAGGATCATAGATTTGCATGGTTTCCATCACACCAGCTAAATTAACCTTTCCCCTTTTTTTGGCCCATGATGATTATACTGTAGATCACAAAGACATTTTAAGATGAGCATCACATGAGAGGATCAAGAGAGGAGATTGCATGAGCCAAGCAGAAGAGCAGTGATTTTAAGGTTGTTTCTGTGATCTTAGTCTGCACTTTCTGCACTTCAGGTGCAAACCAAAAGAATCCTTGCTAGCAAACGGGATTCTTCGTTGTGCTGAAACTGTATGTACTGAATATCAAATAAATGTACATGCTTCACTGTAGCAAAAATAAGCAAGATGAGTGATGTGGGTGTAAAGAAAAAAAAATCGGCCCCAGAAACACCCCACGCTAGAGAGCTTCATCAAAGCAAAAGGAAGGCGATTCAGAGCCTACACAAGAAACAAACCCTGAACAATCGCAGTGCAACAACGTGAAGCAGATATTCATTCTCTCTGCTCTTCTAAAGGCTTTAAGAAAACACATTTTCAAATGAAGCCAAAGATCTGCCTGCTTTTCTGACAAAAAAAGCTTTTAAGTTGTTAATTATGCCAGGACACTAAGGATTACTAGTTTTGCCACCTTTATAATAAATAAAAATGCAGACATTCACAGAACACCGTCCTACCATGTACAACCAGAACACCAACATAAACATCAACAACTTCAATACTCATCACCAACAGTTTGAAACATTTCTAATGCATTTTACATGCTATGCTTTCTTATTAGCAAATTCCTTCTATTTCAATGGGCTAAACTATATTCACAGTAATTTACATTTCTACAAAGGATATTACATACTGTTATACCAACATTTGTAGTTAACATTTATTGATAATCATTCAAGATTGTTTAGTTACCAATCACACATTAAGAATATTACAGTCAGCTTATATAAAGAGTATCATAAAGTCAACTGCATTGGTATGAGCATATGAAATTAAAACTAATTTGACACCCCTCTTAGAAACCTAGACAGAATTTCATGTAGACCTAAACACTATATGCCCTGCTAGAAAGTGGAAAGAAAGAAAACCTGCCACTTTGCAAATTACCAGCAAATGCTTTGTTTTCAATTTGACATCGTTAATTCTCCCAAGATTTGGTTCAGTACAAAAAACTGAACTCAAACAGAACGCACTTTCAAACACTAGCCATCCAGTCTTATTTAACAAAACTGGAAGCTGGTTCTTGCACAGTTTGGCAAAACCGCACCATCGCAAGACTCACCTGGATGTAGTCCCACAGCAAGAGAAAGACGCAGCAACGCGCACGCACAAGGGCGGTTACCGCGAACTCGCTTGGCGCCGCGCTGCCCCAGTACGGCCCACTGCTCACAGAAGCAATGAAACAGCCTCTTCAGTGTGAAGAAACAGCTGTGGCAAAGGTCTGTGAAGCGTGCGCCACGTGTCCGCGCACAGCAGCTACACCCCGTGCGCCGCCCGCCGCCCACAAGTCACCCTGCCAGACGACCCAGCGCTCAATGGCCCATTGTGTGCCTCCCAGGAGCTGCCCCCCACTCGGCACGCGCATCTGTCTCCCTCAAACCCTGCCGCGCCAAGCAGCTGCGCCCCCCGGGACAGGCGAGAACTTCCCCCTCGCCACGAGAGGCAAGGAGTAGAAATCGACACAGCCAGCGGTCCCTGGTCTAGGGCCGGGTTGGACCGGGGCAAGAACGCGAACAAAACAGGAGCTGGCCTGTGAATTGGACGCCTAACGCAGCAAAGCAGGACCACGGGGGTCTGTATGAATCTCCCACCCCCAGGCTGATGGTAAAAATAAATTCTGCAGGAGGAGAAAAGGAAAAAAAATCTCATGTGTATTTGCACAAGATGGCAATCAAATCCAGTCCTCCCACACCACAGAACAGCCATGGTTACTGAGCTATAGACAAGCCCGAGTACAAAACACTCCAGGTGGCCAGGTCTACTTTTACATCACTGCCTGGAATACTGTAAAGACTTCCAAAAGCACAAGTATTTAATCTTAATTAGGTTTACCTTTACCACTAACAATGAAATGCCGTAGCCCATTTCACACACGCCTATACAGTATAGAGCAGCTAATCTCAAATCGTACTGTATAATACAACGTAAAGGATATAAACCAGATTGTTCAGAACAGTGAAGTTGCCATTTAACAGTACTAATAGGCCAGATTAAAATTTGTAAGGAAAAATTTCTGTTGAGAATTGAAAGATGCTGGAAAGAGCACAGCTTCATGCCAGATATAAAGCTTTATAAATTGCACTGTATAAATCTACAGTATGTATCGGGGCCTATAAGCTCAAAGCAAGAATTTGGTATTCTTTGCAGCAAAACCAATTTTTATATATTGCACAATTATAACTGTTTTAAATAATTACACTTAGAGGGTAATCACTAGATACCACATCAAAAATTACTGAAGATGCAGTGACTGTTAACTGCATTCTAAAAGGCAAGTATTTTGTTGTAAAACCCAAAAAATCATCATATGCAATTTTGTGTTATTGTTATTGCATGACATGTTGATGGACTTGTAAATCAAATCCGGCTGTCATATTTAACTCTACTTTTGCTTAAGTGACTTGATCTCTCTTTAGTTGATCTACTCGATCCAAAACCTTGTAGTTCCACAAGGAAAATCAATGGAAATGAGTGTCAGAGCCGACAGCAGAAGCCGATTTGAAGGTCTGATGGGAGACCATGAAGAAAAGGCGCAATCTAACACTAACTAGTTCAGCTTTGGGAGACTAAATGAAAATGACATTTAAAAAAAACAACAGATTAACGACTGTGTTAAACGAAACACTCCTTGTTTTTATTTCGGGAGACTTTTCTTGAACAGACTGGATTAGAATGGATGCCTCAGTATAGTGAGCTTTTCTCTGCTCCCTGCGCCAGCCCTGGGGAATTTTCGGAGGCCGGAAAAGCAGATGGCCCAACGGTTAACTGGTGTCACTCGAGCCCCTGGGACCGCCCTCTACATGTGGCCCTGCCCTCTGGAGGAGGAGGTCTGTATTAAACACACCAGCCCCTTCAAGGCTGCTTTCAAGCTACGGCCACTCGCTGGTAACCTTCCAAGATGCAGTCGGCAAACAACAACTGCAAGGAAAGCACATGAGCTCCAAGAGCAACCAGCTCCCTTAAAAGAGCATCAGAGAATGCAGTATATTTAATAGGCAGACTGAACTAGTATCACTTTCATGGCTATTTAAAATTGGGGCAAAAGCAGCACTGAAATTGGAATCATTCATGCTACTAACTACATTGTGAGGAAATCGAGGTTGCTAAACCTTATGTTTCTGTTTCTTAATCAGGAATTAAAATGGTCAGTAGGTATACGATAGAAAAAAAATCAATTTTAATCAAGCTTTTTCTTGATTCTTCCAATCTGAATTCCCCCAGAAGCACTGGATTCCTGTTCGTTTGACAGGAACAGCCCAGGCAAAGGTCTTCCACACACCGAGAACTGCACACTCCCAAGTAAACCTACAGTAATAACTGGGTCAAAGAAGAATACAAGAATTAAGTTAAAAAAAGACACTGTAGACTACCTGCAGCCGAACAACAAATGTCAATGAACTGCTGAAATCTGTGCTTAAGCCTCCTCCAAGAAACTGTACAACAATTTAAGAACTGTGTTCAAGGTAGAGTACTGAGTTGCTTGAAACCCAAACCCTCATACCACTGAGCACAACGTCTCACACCTTTACCAAGACATCTGTAAACACCACACACCTGCACAGCAGTGACACTTTTAAGCCCTTGCAAGCTTTTTTTTTTAGGTATAATACTCTTACCTTGGGGAAAAAAATGGTTTGAGCATGCAAACATTCACAAGGTGTGAACGCACAAGGTTCAGAAAAGGATTTATTTTATGGATTAAACAGATCTCCTGATTGGTCACCAAGAAACATATTGCATCAAAACGGGCAGTTTAGATAATCCCAGCAAATGACACCTACAGGTATTAATTTAATGACATTGTAATTTAAAGTAAATGTACTAAACCAACACAGTAGTGCAACAACTGTAAGTTGTTTACATAAAGTCAGTTACAGTATCCTCATGGAAGAATTGTTTATACACTAGCTTAAATGTTAGCAATGGGGGAAGTAACTAACCTCTCTCAAGTTTCTAAAACAATCCATAAAAAAGGTTATTATTATTATAAAAACATTATGGAAACCATTTTTGCTAGGTTTTCCCACTGGACCAGATGCCTTGAGTGTCTATATAGACATACAATTTAATGTTTAAATTTCTCATACATCAATTGCATATTGAAAAGTAATTCAACATATGGAAGATGGTCTAAAAATCTGAAGTTACAAAATGAGTAACAATTTTCCCCTTATAACTGTATATACATATATTTGTAGAATATATGTGTTGTATTATTATTTTTATTGTATCATTCATTACACTGTGGCTGTGTTGTCTGTGTTAAGCTGCTGTTGCACTGAAATTTCCTTCATGGGATCGATAAAGAATCTATCTATCTATTTCTTTAACCTTTCACATGCCTTAACAATATAGAAGAATAATTAAGTTTCCTTTCAGGGCTTCACACTTTCAGGATATAGATTCTCAGCGCAACTCTTACACATAGAAACCGTTTTAGACACATTCAAGTACAACTCTTCCAACGTATTTGCCCAGCGAGACTGCAAAACGTCGACGTCGGAATTGAAATTCCGAAACGCTAAGATACGGATACCGCACTTCTCTGAGCTTTTCCTCTTATGAACCGTTCTTCCGCAACCCACAAGAGGAAAAGTCCCAACGCGTGTGGGCATCACCAGGGTACAGTGTCACACTGGTGAGTGTAAATGGAGCACATTCATGTCCGGCAAGTCAGCACTCATCCTTCCTAGATAAGAGCTTACAATCCTGGTGCTCGGACCCGAGATCTCATTTCGACACTGGTCGGTTTCACTCATCGGGATTGTGTGGAAAAGAAACAAGTTTCCCGAAGGACACGTTTAAGTATGAAATTATGATCAAAGCAATAAAGAAAAAAAAAACAGTTCAATCCACATCCAACAACCAGCTGTTCAAGGGGAAAACAAGAGCAGCAGGTGTGGGCTGACAGACGAGCTGTGGGTTCTCACCTGAGCGAGTACGTGTAGCCAGTGTTCTCTGGCACACACTGGGGCGGAGTGTATATGTGCAGGCGAGAAAAATCCATGGTCATTCCCTGATCAGACTGCAAGAACGAAGGCAGGGGCTTTAGGCGAGAACACAAGCAGGCACCCTCATTCACACCCAGTCACGTCAAACAAACCGAGTGTTGTTCAGCCTGTCTCATCCGCAGCAGTTGGCAAAGTTTGGCATTTGTGCAACATGCGACTCAGCTCTTGCAGCAGCCCAGGAAAGAACAGAGCTGGCATCTCTGTTGTGCTCATTTCCACAGACGGGTTTCATATACAGTATCTCTTTCCAAGCTATTCAACTACTCTAATCAGAAAGTGCACTGAAAACATTTTCTCTTTCAGAAAACGCCAAAAATGGGACAAATGAGACACTGATGGTATTTGGTCTTATTGTTTACACAAACCGCAGAAGATTTTATTCTAAATCGGGACACAATGCAAATAGCACCTCATGGTTATGAGATAAAAGACACCTGAAATAAACATATGTGCCTTGCAAAGGTATTCAGACTCCTGCACAGTTTTCGTATTGTGGAGTTGAAGTGTGCATTCATGACGCTTTCAAGTAGCAGTGAACGCATTATTAACACAAACCTAATCCACACATTCAAAGCAAAAAGCAACCAATATAAAAAAAATGGGAAAGGCACAACTTCTTCAGTATTCAAACTCTTCACAGTGACAGGCCGGAATTAATTTGAACATACTGAACTAGCTTAACAAGTCATACGGTTAGTTGAGTAGTCTCTGTCGATGTGAAATTGCGTTTCACACCATTTCAGAATAAAAACACCCGTCTCCTGAGATCCTTCTGTCAGGTAGTGAATTTCAAGTAAACACCATGAAGACCAAGATGCTTTCAAAACAACTCAAGGATAAAGCTTAATAAAGGAAAAGATCAGGAAAAGGGAATACAAACATATCAAAGACTCTGAATATTTCTTTGAGCATGGTGACACTGCCTGGGTTAAGCTATCTGTCCAAGATGAGCAGTCAGGAGGAAGGAGGAAACTGGTTAGCTGGATGCAGTGAGAACAACAGAGCTCAGTGTCTGCGGTGAGAGGAAATGTCCAAAGGTCACCAATATCCCAGTCACTCTCCAAAGACTTGTAACGAACTTCTAAAATCCCACTTGGGTTTTTTTAACAAAACACTTCGAGTGAGCCTACAAATGTATGTCAAAAGGTTTTGTGGTCAGACGGAACAAAACTGGAACTTTTTGCTTTAAATGCACTATATTAGGTTTGCATCGCTCAAGTCTATACAGAAGTGTCTTAAGAATAAGTAATTACATGTTCTTGAGTGGCCCAGTCAATGTACTGAGTTGAATCCTTTTGAGTATCTGTGGAAAGATGTGATGACTGCTGTACATAACATTTCAGTTTTGTCTTTAGTTTTTGCAGACGTTTACTGTAACTTATCTTACCCTTTTAACACTTCAGTTTGACCATTTGGGTTTTGAATAAATATGAAATTGAAAAGCATGCATCATTTTGTAATTTCACAAGACGAGACACGAGAGGAATACTTCTACAAGGCACTGTATATCAGACGAAGCTTCATTTATTAGCATTAAAGTGCAACACCTGTGTTTTACACAGCAGGCTAACATCTACTGCACTTGCACTTCTAAACTCTTGCTTTAAATTAAACTATTATTTTAATGACTTAAACAAGGGCTAGTTTTTATAAATGTTACCTAAAATGTACCATATTACCTACATTCACACACTCATTCAGGGATCCAGGATCTTACAAAATGCTCCCACAGAAGTGCTACAGACAGGTTATAACCAACAGTCGGTAGCCTATATGCCTACTCTTAAGAAAAAACCTTCAAAGAAGTTGAAGAAGTTGGTACCATTCCTGACAACATTCCTATATGAAAGAAACACATAGCTGTTCAGGCCTGGAGGGCTGGGTGAGGCGTCATACAGTCGAGTTTCCAGGAGGTAAGGAAGACGTGGGCATTCTAGTTTTAAATCGGAAAAGATATCTACATTTACGCGATGGCAATCTGAACGATGGCATTTTGATGAAGAAGCATAACCTTAGGCAATATATAAAGAGATAACTTGTATTCGCAGACTACCAAAGCACTGCAAACTGCAGGATAGCGTTCCTATCTCTCTAGACTATATCTCAGCATAAAGGTCTCAATCCTTGCGCACACCCAGAATGTCCAAAAGCTCTGTTCATCAGAACACCATTTCAGTGCATGAAAAGAATAACTTTCCAATCATCTCTCTCTTCAAACCCATTAGACATGAATCCAGCACAACCAGGCCGATAAATCTTAAAATCCACTAGAAACTAGATTAATAACTCATACTTCCTTCTCCTACTACTGCAGGATGCAAAAATCTGCTGCCGGTAATACTCTAATTCAAACACTAGCTATGGCGAAGGCCCCTTGTTGGTAAACACTTCTTAGAGAGGGTACTACATCACCTGAATATCATACTTAAAAAGTCTTTGTGCAGAAACATTTTTGTAAGGACCAGTAGACGTATCATATACTTCTTGGAAAGTGGCTCTACTCAATAACACAGATTGTACAGAGGGGCCCGATTCAAATATCGAGGACTTTGAAAGGGACTGATGAAGTAGACCAAAATTCATGGTCCATAAACCTTATATACTACTTCAAAACAAGTAAATAATCATTACATTTAAGACCGTTCATACCATCTTTGGTTTATACAACAGCATCTATTCAGCTAAATTGGACTTAACAGAGCTTTAACTGTCAAGGTTATCTATTCAAATTGCATCTCATCTGAAACAGCTTTCAAATCCGAGGATGACTTCAAAACAGCTTCAGGTACAAACTAGTTTTTCTACGTATAACCTTGCTTCAATCAGTTTAATCCTAAAAAGGGCAACTGCTAATGGACTTAGTACGGGAGACAGGCTGAACTTGAAATCAGTTTCTCTCACACAAGCACAGAGGGCAACACGCTCACGCAAGACATGCCCAGCAAACTTGGCGAAATACAGACAGCTCCTTTTTTTCAGAACTCCTTTTTAAAGCTAAACATACCACTCAAAATGACGGCAAATTCATTTCGACAACGTGCAAGAAAATGAAAGATCGCGACGCTCCCTGCAACAGAAAATGTGTCAAAATCCGGGATCAGCGGCGCTATGGAAAGATAAAAAGCATCAGCAGATTATTCAAAATCTGGACCCGATGGCGTTAATATCGCCAGTCTGAAATGCTAAATTTAGATCACTACATTCTAGCACTGTATGGGAACACATGCAATCTTTTACAGTAAATTAAAATGCGCACAAGTGTTGTATCGCGTACATGTATCTTCATGCGCAGCGAAGTAACAAGAACATCCACACATTTCATAGTCAGAACACTGCGCCACAGCAATGATTAAAGCCCAGCTTTAACGCGAAGAGATCTGAAAAAAAGGAGCTCACGCGTCTGGATTGCCAGTTACAAACGGCAGATTATGTCCTCCAACGCAGGGGGTGCGAGTCACTGAGAGCAGAACCAGACCTCAAGTTGTTTTCACTTGCCCATGCAGCAGGACGAGTCCATTTGTCTCACGTTAGCGCAATCCCGTCGGAAAGGCACAGCTCAGACTCCGAGATGCCCCGGCTGCCGCCCGCATTCCCACATAAACCCCCCCCAGAAAACGGGATCCGAGCGCTTGTGCCCCCTGCGCCTCTGGTTACAGTGTATCTGGAGGGTTAAAACTTTGCAACTTGACAGCGCTGTTTCTCTACCCCCTGCTACAGAATTCCAAAATGGCTTCCCAGACGTAACAAAGCCTGGATAGCTGGTCCTCCCACTCCAGCCCCCGTTGTCAGTCAGGGCGCAGTTTGAATCTATTGGATAGAGACGATGCTATATCCAGCCCGCCGGGGCTATTTAACTGCTTGGGATGAGGTGCCCAGCTGAGGCACCAAGGGCCACTGGGGCACCAAACCGTCCCCAGTTCGCTCCACACCAATGAACAGGGAGCCGCCACAGATCGTGTTGGTTTTCCTCCACGGGGAGCCCAGTCCAGCAACGTTTGCAATGGGAAAACGGCGGAGCCACAAGACTGCTGGGCTTGCTTTCAAGGCAGGCGTGGCAGAGGTGACTCAGACTCTCCTGGCTGCCGACAGCCACTTGATGGCTGCGCTCTGACAGCCGCCACAACAGGCTCGGGCACTGGGCGGAACGGCACACGCACGAAACGTTGGGTAACTCCTCGCATGCAGACATCAAGGGATTTAGGGGAAACAAATCCCGTGAAGGGATGAGCGGCCGTGCATTAAGTTGGAGAGCAACTAAGACAACATTTTTTCAGCGCCTTATTCATCTTCACTCGCGCAAACTTAACATTTGCAGGAGTCATCTCCAGCTGCAAGCAACCAGCCTTGCCGGCTATTTTGATGCAGCTGCAGAGACCCCCACCTCGGCCCGGTGTCAGAGAAGCTCGTTTCGCAAAAGCAACGAGGAGGAGGAGGAGGAGGAACCGGTGCCCTATTAAAAGTGCGAAGGCTTGCAAAGCAGATTTCCCTTAAAAGCTCCATCTCTACACTGCAGAGGCAGAAATCGTGATTTAGGAAAAAAATAAGTAACAGTAAAAGATTGACAACAAAATAAATAGCCTTAGCAGTACTGTAAACAAGCATCTTCGACTCGCCTCTATTTTTTTTTTAAATGCGACAAACTTATTTGAAGGAAAAAAAAAACATTTTGCAAGACACCTACATAGAAAATGTTTGCCCGTCCCATTAAGTCCGATCCAGAGTCGAAAAATGCCTCCACGGTGATCCTGAACTGCAGGAGGAAACCTGGAGAGCCCGGGAAAAGCCGCCAGGAGAACATGCGAACTCCACACCGACAGACCCGCGGCCAGCGCTACCCGCCGACACGGACAATATCGACCACGCGAATTCGGGGAAGAAAAGGCGCATTACCATTTGAATATGATTGAGAATATACAGACCATTTTAGCACAAGGCATGTCAATGTCGACCATGAGAAATAAAAAAAAAACAAAACTTCCCCTTTTAGATGAAGGGACTAGAGCTGTTGCCTAGCAACCCATCTAAAGACAACACCCTTGCTCAGTTTCGCCTGCAGCGGGTCCTAGCTATCATTTCCTCTCAGACGTTTCCTAGAATTTATTAAGTCATTAATTCTTTATATAGCTTTGCAGACGCCCGTGAGCCGTTATCAAGAGATGCCAAGCGCGACTGTTGCAAATGCATGAAGAGGGAGCAAAGGCAGATGAACCCCGAAAAAGCCATTGCTGACACTGGCTCACCTGCCCGCCGGGCACTTTTCCTTAGGAATTGAGCCCTACAGTGGGGGAAAAAATGCAACATCCCACAAAACAGCAACCTTCTATAAGATATTGGTCTGACCGCGCATGAGTTTACGCGATTGCACATCTGCAAAAAAAAAAAAATCCCATAAAGGTTTACTATCAGCACAAGGAGAAAATACCGCCCTCATTCTGGCAACCGCAGAAAAACACGAATGCAGATGCATGAACATTACATACGAATCACACTGCACAAGGCCTTAACTGGGCAACAGTTACTTTAATATCTATGGCTCCCAGCTCGTCTCGCACAGTCCTGGACGCTTCCAGGTGCAGAAGTTCAGACGCAGGTGTCTCCACCTGTCACACGCAGGGGACACTGAAGTTTGCGCAGGTCAAGGGGCAGAGCTTTAATTGGGAGCACCTGTATTTTGCATGGCAAAAAAAAAAAAGCTCACAAAGGTCCTAAGAATAGGCAAAGGCAAAGCACCCAGGGGTACGGTAACGAACCCCACTATTTAATCCACTACGCAGTTATGCAACGTGTCGACTACGAAATGAATATTGACTTTTTAAAGCCAAATTTTAAAATAACAGGTCCACGTCTTTTATTTATACCCCTCCAACTTTTCAGGCTCAACCCCCCGAAAAAAAATACAACAACGGCTATGACCATTTGCTAAACTGGTACCCGACTAGTCGGGTGTTGGTGACCTTACAGTAATTCAAGATACGAGCCTGTTTAGGCAGCCCTATCCACGGTAACGCTGAAACAAACATCTTGACTCGCATCACCGCCCAGTAAATTAACCTCAATAACCTTCCTGTCCCCCCCCCCAAAAAACACAACACTTGGATTATTAACGTACGCGGTGAGTCAGCCCAGCCCGCGGCCCAGGCCTGTCCGATGCGCCGGCGGCGCCCCCTGCTGGCGCGGGTCCGAGCGACACGCAAGCCGGCCTGACAGCCTGCAAGGGGCCGAAACGCCGCGAAATGCGAACTGGACCGGACGGACACCCCAGCTAACACCCAGAATAATAACGCTTCGGGTACCAAATGACAGTTACTTTAAAAGTCTCTCAACGAGTGGAAGTTAAATAATTCAGCCAAAACAGTAAATATGTCATCACGGGAAAAAACATCATGTAAAACACGGTTCCATTCATACGTCGTTACCCCCGGGCTTTAGTTATTTAAGCACAAGTTTTAAATGTTATCAAGCTTTCCAGAGCAGAGCACTGTTTGCATCCCTTGCGCAAACGCCTGGTAATAACACGGAAACAGCGGCTTTCGCCGACGTGTCCGCCTCTGTCGCAACTCACGTTTTTCTTTTGGTTTTTTCACGAATAAAAACATCTGAAGCTAAACACGAGGAAGCCAAAACGGCCAGAAAAGTGGGGGAAAAACACTCACCCGTGTCAAACCTCCCGGTTTTTGCAACTCCAAATCCGTTTTTCTCTCTCTCCCTCTCTCTCCGCGATGCAGCTCCTCCTGGATATTTGAAAGTCCCCCTCTTTTAAAACGTCATCTGCAAAACACGAGGGGAAGGCGGCATTAACAGCGACAACTATCAGTCACTCATACACAGTTTCGCTACGCCCTGACAGAAAGCGGTAATGCAAAACTTTATGACACACTTTCAGGCTGAAGTCCAAGTCCAAACGGCCCGCTACTCCAGCCCAGCCCATCCCGTTTTATTCCCTGTTTTGGGAGAGCGCCATCCCCCGGCCGGAAGCCTCCCTCTCTGGGCACTGTTCATCTGGTTTTCGGCGTACTGTACCTTCAAAACTATGTTTCAATAGTAAATCTGCATTTCAATTAGTTACCGGGAAATGTTTTTTAAAAAAACGCATACCTTGGGAGAATTAAGTTGTAAAACGTAGGAATAGACATACATATACATTTTAAAGTGTACGACCACTGGACGTTTTGATGAAATAATATTTAGGAAGAGGCGGCACAATTTGGTGTGTTGCATGAACCCACATTAACGCTTGGAACATGGGTTCTGTGCGTAAATGGCCTCATCTGTGTTTGGACAGCTGTTTGCGCCCGTTAATCCCCATCCTTTCCCGCAAATTCGCCTTTTATGTTAGTTTTATCTCGCTCTGTACACTGGCAAAAGAACACCAACCCATTCCCACCTTCACATTTTAATGTAACCTCTACAATTATTGACATTGCTGTGCCCATTTTGTTTCTGTCACATACCCGCATCGTTTTTCTGTTTGGTACACTAAGTGGTTCAATCACAGCATTAAGGCCTGACTACAGTTCTCAGTATCTCTGCCTGCAGAACCTGCCCTAGTTTACAGTGTCTGCCTTGCATTGATAATGAAGAGCGCAAATATTGCTTGATTGTCTTGTACTCGAGGATGGGGTAGGGTGTAACAATATACTGTGGCCCTAATTACTGAGTACTGTCTGTGTGGAGTCTGTATGTTCTTCTCCATGTTTGGGTGGGTTTCCTCCAGATGCTTCATCCTTAAAAACACTGATAAAGTTAACCTAATGGAGCTCTTCAGAATACACCATTCAGAGAACGCAATATCAAGTACAAAGAAGTGCTTTTAAAACTGATAATGAGAGGCACTTTTGTACTAAAGGATTTGTGGGAGTCTGGAACTAGCTGCAACTAACATGTTCTACTATTTTTTCAGTACTTGTACACTCAGAACTATGTACGTTACAAACACAGAATAACAGGTTTTCTTGGACAGAAATGTAGAAGAAAGTTAACACCTACTGTTATATTTGTACAATAATGCATTTTACACTAATGTTTTCTCCTGGCAATAAACTTTGAGGTACTGTAGGATATTTCCTTTATATACTGTATGTTACCTTTGAATTGTAATGCAAAGTACTGTAATCTGGTGCGGTCACATTTTAACATCACAATCCAGAGTCTACCCTATCTGAACGTATCCAAAAAGATGTTCTTGTCCTTCCAATGTGAAAAGACTGCATTTTGTGTGAACTGCACACTCGTTTAAATTAGGAATGACGACAGGAGATACAGTGATTCGTTACTGTCAGTCAATAAACTCTTCTAATGCAAGGGGACATGCATACTCATATTTCTCCCGATTCGTATCCAGATATTGGGAAATAAAAGCAGTGAAACCTAAGCAGAAATCACAAGCATGTTTAAAGAAGTCAGGTGTGTTGCTCAAGTTCAGTTTTAGTTTTCTCTGCTGGTATACCTTTCACCACGTGACCAGTAACTAGGAGCGCTCAAACGTGCAGCACAGTTGTACTTCTTATACAGGTGTGCACACCTCCTGTCCACCAAGCGGCTACCTTGTAGTTTTATCTTCCAGCAGTACGCAGTGTTAAAAAGGAGATATTAAAAGCTGCCTGAAGGCAAAACACAGTGTCTCATCATCTGGCTTTAGCTTAAGGGACTCGACTGAACTGTTTTGAAAGCAGAAAAAAATGAATTTAAGAGAAGCGGCAATCTTGATTTCCATCATGTGCTCCTTTGAGGCTTTGGCCGAGCTGCCGCAAGGTATCAACCGCTGTAAGTACCTTAAAGTCCTTGAGGTCACCTACCGCGATAAGGAGTAGGACAGTAGCAGCGCAATTAGAGAGCGATGTAGTATAAAGACATAGGCGTAGCAAAGCGTAACCTGCCGAGAAAGTGAGTATATTATAGTCCGAGACCTATTTATTCTGACTGCATGTAACGTTGGATGTTGTGCGAAAAGTAAAACTAAAGATACTGTTTGCTCCTATCCCGTAGGAAGGAGGAATCCGTGAGTGAATTTACCTATGTTTACTAATGAGAAGGAAAGTTATAACTGGCAGCTATATTAACAAAGAGCG